TGACTGTTCTTGAATGGTCCAGCCAGAGCCCTGACTTAAACCCAATTGAGCATCTCTAGAGAGACCTGAAAATGGCTGGCCACCCACGTTTGCCATCCAACCTGACAGAACTGGAGAGGATCTGCAAGGAGGAATGGCAGAGGATCCCCAAATGCAGGTGTGAAAAACTTGTTGCATCATTCCCAAAAAGACTCATGGCTGTATTAGCTCAAAAGGGTGCTTCTACTAAATACTGAGCAAAGGGTCTGAATACTTATGACCATGTGATATTTCAGTTTTTCTTTTTTAATAAATCTGCAAAAATGTCAAACATTCTGTGTTTTTCTGTCAATATGGGGTGCTGTGTGTACATTAATGAGGAAAAAAATGAACTTAAATGATTTTAGCATATGGCTGCAATATAACAGAGTGGAAAATTTAAGGGGGTCTGAATACTTTCTGTACCCACTGTATATGTAAACAAAATTGTATTTGTAATAGGCCAATATCATCCACTAACATCAGTCTGCTCATAACTGAAATGAATGAATGAATATCTTTATTAATCTGTGTAAACATGGGAACTATGTCTTGTTCTATCAGATATGCTTCAATTTAACTGTATAGGCTTGCAACAAATTGTAAATCAAAAATAAGTCTAGGCATGAAAAACAGACAAAAAAACTGGCACCAGATAAAGTTGTGTGACATTTACAAGTGTGCAAGCAGCTGAAGATAAGGGTAGAGGAAGTAATTGAAATTCAGACATACAACAATCACTTCAACAGAATGAAATACTGTAAAGGTTAAGCTAACTAACAATTCCCCTTTAGACTGATCATTTAGTGCATGGTAGCCATAGCTGTACATTTTTCAGAAATAAAATACTTCACTGTACACCAGAACTTCTCTTTCACTGGTTAAGAGATGAAGACAGAGGTGTTCCCAATATTCTGACCTTCTCATGCGTGTAGCTGGGTAGGACAAAAATATTTCTGACAACTTCACCAAAAACTGCAACAGTGAGAGCTTCACAAACACAAATGTTAAGGCAGAAGTGTTGCACTGAAGTGCATACAATTTTCAGGCGCACCTAATAAAGTGGCTGGTGAAAGTAACTCACAAGAAGGATACACATGGTTGCAAGTTAATCTATACGTGTTCTCAATAATCCCCTCCTCACTGACATCTACAAGGATGGGCTGGCCACACACAGCACAGATGCTATCAGAGAGGTGCTTGGTTGGCATGCCAGAAGCACTGTAAAACTAAAAAAAGGAAATTGTTAAAATTACATTTTATATTACAGCCATTACCTTCAACAGGGCACAGAAACGTACAGTGTCTGCAACGCGTCTACTCACCCCAACAGTTGAAGCCATGAAGTCTGCACACATCTCTGCAAAGTCTCTTCCTAGGACCCCGTAGTAAAGACCATAGAACAGCAGCGAAACACCAAAGTCCATTGCATCCTCCGGCTTTATCCTGGACAGAGAAGGCACTGTGTGGAAATCGTGGCTCTGACGACTCTTGTTGCAGCTCAACATCAGCTTTTTTTTTTTTTTAAGTTCAAAGGACAGAAATATCTGTTCTATATTTGGTGTATGAGGCAATTTTAAGATATATTTTCAGAGCCCAAAACTAATTGAATGCTTTAAAAGTTCATATATTTAACCATGCCTCAAAAAGCTAAAGCCATTATGCAATGAAGTATCCAAGATAGGTGACATTTCTAGTAAGGAAGTGGAACTCTTTTAGGCCATCTCATTCAGGAAGGACACAGGGTACCTTCCTGTTAGCCTGTTTTATTATGCAGGATACACAATTCCACAGCACAGTGTGACATAAACTAAGAAGCTGATGATGCTCAGAATAAATACCTGATTTTACAACTGTGAAAAGTGATGTCTATGTAACATTTTCTTTTAATTTGGGGCGGCTGTGGCTCAGGAGGGAGAGCGGGTCGTTTCCTAACCGGAGGATTAGTGGTTCGATTCCCGGCTTGTACAGTCAACATGTCGAAGTGTCCTTGAGCAAGACACTGAACCCCCAGTTGCTCCTGGTGATGTCACTGGTGTGTGAATGGCCGAATAATGTGAAAGCGCTTTGAGTGTGCTGTAAAAGCGTAGAAAGGCGCTATACAAGTATAAGACCATTTAGCTTGAAAACCATCAAAATATACTCATGTAAACTCACTTAAATGCAGTAAGTGATAATCCCAAAGGCTCTAAAAGCTGGTTCAATAAGAAGGCTCAGCTTCACTAAACTAATGAATCCATAACAGATTAAATCAACTACCTCATCTGTAAAAAGAGCAGGTCTACTTTACTTTGAACGGTCAGAATCACTAAAACAGGAAGAGTTGCTTCAGGTGGTCGGGACCTTTCTTGCATTTGAAACACGGCTATGGGTTTCTGTTTGCCCAGCGCTTTGTTAATTCAAGGGCCCAAATGAATGGACTTGCTTTTTGTACATCTTCCACAGCTACTTGTTAACGAATTAACAGACTAATTGCTGCAGCTCTGCTCGAAATGGCAAGTTGTGTTTTTAACTTTTAATGGAGAGCCTCCTTTTCCAAGTAATATATGGCCAAGCATAAAAAAGTGCCAACACAATACTAAAACAGTTGCAAAACATAAGTACATACTACTGAAATGAGCAAGTTCTTTAATTTCACTTTCTCCAGTAGACTGTGTCTAAAGCAGAACATGTAAAAACTCTTTCGTTTGAACATCATTATGAATGACAATATATTAAAGTGACAACGTATATTTAAACCCATCATGTGATGTTTACTTGTCATGCCAACTACAGAGACAGACCAAACGAAGGAAAATAAAGGGAAAATCAAACAAATGTTGGTGGAAGCAGTGATTAAAAGGGTGAAACAAAATGTGAAAACAGCACCATCTGGTGGCAGCCAGGTGCTACATGTAGGAATGAGCCTCCCACTTTTTATAAAACAGATGGAAATGGAAAATAAAATGGGAAGCTAAAAACAGACAGCTGCTCTTGTCAACAGCACCCTTGAGTTTAAAGGGTTTTATTTTCAGTTGTACAACAGTTAACATCCTCTGAAGTCTCTGAACATTCATAAAGTTCAATTGGGGAAAAAAAAGACCAATGAAATGTTGTAGAATTGACAATACATACCTGAATATCAGGTTAATACCAAAGAGTGTAAACATGACGACACTGTAGCCAGCTATTCCTATTGCATAGCTGATCTTGTAGAGGAGGAGGAACCACTTATATACCAACCTACCACAGCAAAACATAAGGAAAACTTTAGAAGATATCATAGACAGTTTGATCCCCATTAATAGAAAGGCATGTCTGTTCTTTTACAGGGTACAGTTGGGTGTAAACGATGGTTATACCTGGGTGTGGTGCAGGCCAGTGGCTTGCGAGTGGCACGGTAGGAGATATATGCTGTTATGACAGAGAAGATAAACCACGTGGTCAAGAACCTCCACCAATGAAGTTTGGTAGTAAAGTAGAGAGGAACTACCCACATCTGGAACAGAGTCACCAGCTACAAGACAGCAGAGCGGACATGTTAGGAGATGCATGTACATCAGGGACAAACAGACACTGCATAAACACAAAACAGAGACCACCCACAGCATATCTGGATAATGTGAAACAAGATGGGGAGTACCAGACTTCTCTTTTTTCTGGAAACAAGTACCGATAGTCATGTGCTGCCAGACGGATAGAAAATATAAGAAAATGCACACTCGTCATGGACAACACTGTGCCAGTACATGCTCTCTAATACCCCTACTTCCCCATCACTGCAAACATAGCCCTAGCTCATAGCAAAACTTTGTGTATCCAAAGCACACAAATTATTTGAATGCGTCTTCAAGGGATAATAGTTTCAAACTTTGCATATAACGCTTTAAACTATTCGCCAGTGTCTTTTGCGTCTTACATTGTATGACCTTGGATGTCTCTGTTTCCATTGCACAAGAACTAGCTGTGCGACGACTAGGGTGACGATGAGGATCAGCACCATCTCTGCATGCATGGCCTCATGGCCTTTGTGTTTAGCATGCATTCTTGCATGCTCCACCCTGTGGAAAAAGAAAAACATATTCAACTAATGTTATGTAGCCAGAAACCACATTACTATTTTTTTTTTTTTTACTTTTGTTTATTTAGTGTAGTTTCACAGAAAGCAACCTTTTTTTTTTTTTTGAACAGGAACACCCAGATCATGGTCAGAGTCAGACACATTCACACCTGAAAGCTGCTCAGTACAACCACAATCGAACTGAGCAGCTATACTTGGAATTGCAGCTGGTGTTGATGAGGGAGTGAGAAGCGCTGCTTTGCCATTTGACCCACCCAGCTTTAATCCTGTCAGACCAGGGACTGAACCGGTCTAACCCTTAGGCCACCACTAAAACACATTACCTTAAAGCTGCAAATAGCAGCTTCGTACACTGGTGTCTCCTAATAGTAATGACTGGAAACAGCTCGTTTCAATATCATTAAATCGTCAAATGTTACTGCACTCTGAGACTAGCTAGCCTTATCAGATTATTAACAGAGATAACACAGGCAAAAGGTTTAATGTAGGAGAGACCAGCTTTTTCCACAGCTCACTGAATTTTCTGATTGATTTTTATTTAGTAAGAGCAAAAATCTCTTTATACCTAATCAGAACATTCTTGAATAGAATGTATAGAACTATTTTAATTTACTAAAACCTATTAAGAAATAAAAACTTTGCAACTTTAGATCTGTCGTTTAATAAATTGTTTTTGTTGTACAGATAGATTAATGGTCCTTTTATCTGATTGCATATCAGAGAAAAACACATGCATTATAAAAATAAATGTATGATCCATTTAAAGTGTGGCAAAGACACTAACCTCCACTTCTCTTCTGGTGAAAGCTTGGACATATCAAACTAAAGAAAGAAAATGACAAAATAAAGAATATTACTGTAGCTGAAAAAAATAAGACATTTTTAAGAAAAGACGAGACAAATAGATGGATAGACAGATGTTTCTCAACTCAGGTTTTCCCCATGAATTTGTTATTTGTCTGAATTTTAAAATTCAACAAGTGTGTTTAACAGTCACAGGCCCTCCCAGATTGTTGGGCTTGTGTAACTATGTTATCTTATTTGAAACTAAAAGTTGGCAGCAAGAACTGATACAACATTCTCTTGTAATTAGAGCTTCTTACCAGCCAATAATTCAAGTGAATACAGGCTGGCAGCACCTACACTTACAAGTATCCTGTTAAGGGTTTCAACCCATTTATTGCTCACATCTAGCTATATTCTAAACAACTGGCAACAGTTTTTCTTTTTGAGTCATTATTTCTCATTTATAAAATTGACTACTCGCCCACAAATTGATATTACACTGCTGACATGTATATGAAACACAAAGTCTCCCCACTTGCACACTTGATAAAAAATAACCAATTTCACTCATCATTTTGGTACAGTTTAGAGTGTTTCTATGTTCTTCTATGCTTTTGTGGCCCCAAAGCTGTGGATTGATTTGCCTTTCAATATTAAATTTGTTACAGAAATGGCTGTTCTTAAATTCCTCCTTAAGACCTTTTTTATTCAATAACGTATTCAAGTGTGGTATTTATTGCTGTTGGTTCTTATTCTAGTTTGCTGTTGTTTACTTTTTGTTTTAATTCGGTCTTTCTGTTCGTTGTGGGAAGCACTTTGGTCAACAAGATGTTAACACTTAACATAAAAAGAGGCAGGAAAACAGCCATCAGACAACACCAAGTCCCACAGTTACAGATTTTCATTCAAACGACACACGTTTAAAACATAACTGAACCAAACACAAGAGTACACTGTGTATTTTGTTTGCTCATTGACGAAATACAAGCAAAGCAGCTGTTCTTCCTCTGCTGCATATTTTGTAACTACACCTCACATTTTGAGTGTAAGAGCTTTTAACTTTCAGTTTCAGTTCACTTTGTTGCGTCTTGCACATTGTCACGTCCTGCTCTTACATTAAAGGCTGTTGTGACCATAGACTGAAATCACACAGAGTGATTTGGTTGCTTCCCTTGACTTCAGCACGGAAAAGGCTATACGTGACCTTTGAACCCAACAGCCACATCAGCTTTATTTTGTAGAGTTAATAAGTGAAGCTATCACAAATTTCTGAATGTAGCATGTATGTAACAGGGTGAAAGAAGCTGTAATAAATATTAACTTGATTTAAAAAAAACAAAACAAACATCTTAGCTACTTTAACCCGGTGAAAGCTAACAACTGCTAAGTTAGCTAACGAGCTAACGTTGATTTTAACGCTCGCCGGCTAGCTAGCTAGCTTAGCATTGCTAAATTTGCTCAGGGCGTTTCTTGCTTGCACTACTGTTTTAGCTGAATGAAACGCAATCAGTTACGTTCAATAAACTAAGCGCTTTGTCCATAGACACCATACCTCTGCAGCTTTACAAATGGCTTAATGCTCAGCTGCTTTCGCTAGGCTAAACCTGTCAGTATTAGCTGGTAGTTCCAAGCTGACAGCTAACAACGCAGTATAAATTCACTCCCCGTCTATTTTATCTGTCATAATAACTCGTTTGGCCCGTTATTCTTACCCGATTCGATTCATCGTGATGCTCCAGTCCATGGTCGTGCTCTACACCATCAACCTCCACCTCGAACACCCCAGCCATCTTCGGAGTGTTGCTTTACCTTTCCGGGTCCATTAGCGTTAGCAACAAACCAAAGAAGGTCACATCCGGTCTTTTTCTGCTTCTTCTTCTTCTTCTTTTATTTTTCGCGAGTGACAAGCAACGTTAGCTGCATTACCGCCACCTTCTGAATAGGAAAGTGGATCAAGATAATCGAACTACCAAACTTTCATATTCTATTAACCCAGAATCTCTCAAAAAAATGAAGGACCCCCCCCCACACACACACACAATTCTCCTGAATTCCTTTGCAATATATCCTTTCAATATATATTCCTTCCTCAAACCTTACTTTATTTTCCTCAAGTTGTATTATTAACCTTTGTATCTCTTGTTGGCATCTTGGGCATTCCTTGAATACATGTCCTCTTGTTTCAGACCTATCATAATAATCACATCTTCCAGTATTATGTTTATTCATTAAAAATAATGCACTATTCAATATTGTATGTCCAGATCTCATCCTTGGAATAATATTTTCATCTAAAGTTGACCTGCTACTACTCTTACCCCTAGCCACTTTCTTCTGAACACATCCAGTCTTGTTGGGCTTTTTTTCTTCAAAATAAAGTATGGGAAGTAGTTCAAATAGAAAAAAGATTATACTTGCTGGTCAACATGTCTGAAATCAAGTCATAGTTTGCAAGTTGTATTTAATGCGTGACAGTCAACTGATTTTTCCAAAACACTATACTTCTGACTTTTTGACAAAGCTACATGTATAGCCAGAGATTTAATTATTAAGCTTGAAATGCTTTTAAAATAGACTTAAAATTAGATTAGAAAGAATTATTCTGATTCTTTTACAATAATAATACAACAACAGTGCAGAAAACCAGTTTTGCAAGTTATAGTCAACCATTCAAAATTTTACAATGTAACTTCCTTTTATATATATATATACATACAGTTTAGATGGAAGTTTTAAAGGTATATTTTCAAGGTATTGCACTGATGCTGCAGGTGATGAATTAATGAACCTGTGTGCTCATGCATGTGACCTCATGGGAGCAGTATGTGTAAAGCAAGCTGAGACCTGCACTATCACACTGTAGCATCAGGTGGAGGTCTGCCACCTGCCGAAAACAAACGCCAAGCCAACATTAATTCATGACCTCATTCAAGGCAGAAGTAACGTTCCTCAACACTACATTCATGAAACAATGAGACACAGCCAAACGTGCTTTTAAATTATTTTATTGTTTTACAAAGATTATATTGTGCAAGTTAATTCTTGTGATATTTGAACAACATGTAACAAGAAACAAGGGTGACCTACAGAGGCCCATTGCTATTGAACAGTGATCTTAGGAAAATGACAGTGACCAGAGGGACAGCCAGCACGATTGAGTACTACAACTACTGAGTGCCACATTTGCCCTAATCAGCTGACAAAATAACCACATCCCGTATTTTGCAGTAGTACTGTAAGTGGCCGCTACTTCTAATTAGTGTATTTTCTCACTGTAAAACCCCGTTTTACCGCCACAGTCAAGCTGTACTGGTCTAAGTTATCTGCTATGGTAAACCGATCATTTCAGCCTTTTTTTGGAAATAAATCCACTGTTTTTCAACACATGATAAGAGGACTGCAAGGAAATCATTTCTGTCTCAGTAATTTCTAAAGGCCCACATTATATACAAAAATAAGAAATGTGTAAGTTTTTTCTTTGGCTAAACTAAATGTTCATTTTAATGTCATCAGACTTGTTTAAAGAAAAAGGCATAAGATTAGGCAAAAATGAATTTGAAATGAATTCTTTATTCTTGAGCAGTTCTCTGTGTCAGAAGAAACATGGTTTCACAGGATGTGAGCAGACTTTGCCAGGTGCACTATATGAAAGTTTCTCAAGGTTTCACTGATTAAGATTATCAGGATACACTGACATTTTAGGAAACATGCCTAATCATTTCTGGTGGAGCACTGGATGAACAGACTGATATATAAGATACAGCCAGCAGCTGGTTAGCTTAGCATGACAGTAGGCTGATTAGATTATAAACTCTCCTGTGTACAAACTGCCATGTTATATGTTTTGAAGAGTTGGTCAGATGAAATTCATACCATCTCCAAATTGTCACTGATTGATTTTGCCCCCCCAACAAATCCTCCTTGCACATACTGGATAATGGACAAACCCTAAGAAGCCCGTGTGGTCTTTTAAATAGGACATCACTTGGTTTCGGTCTCTATAGCATCCCATCAATCCATGCTTTCTGGAGAACTAAAACCTGTGTCCTGGGAGCTGCTGCTGCCTGTTGGCGAGGGAATGGTTGTGTCCTGATTGTGCTCCATGATGGAGTTTGCTACATTATGCTCAAACCTTCTTCCCTTCATGCTTTTTTCTTGCAGCTCTATGTTTTCAAACTTATCTATTAATGTTTTTGTGTGTATCTTTTCATTGCCATTTTGGCTGGTCTCATCTTGTTCAGTGATTATGTCAGTGTGTTTTTCACCCACTGCTACCTCTTGAAGTGTGTCGTCTTCTGTCATATCTTGTATGGCCTCCCCTTTCACTTCTTCTTCTACATTATCAAAGCCAGTCTCTGATACCGCCTCCTCGTTCCCTTTATTGTCAGTATTTTCATTTTCATCTACTTCCACCTGCTCATTGTTCTCAGCTTCCTCCTCATCTCCTGCCTCTGCTTTAGCTCTGCCTTCCTCCATCTTCACCATATCACAGTCTGTTACCTGCTTCATTTCTTCTGCTTCACATTCACCCACATGATTCGGTTGTGTGTCTGACTCCAGCTCTGAGTCAAGCTTTTCTTTCTCCACCTCTTCTTCTTCATGGTGCACTGTCACTTTAAGTGAAGTGTCCTCTAGTCTGCTGTTAAAACCTCTGAAATTGTTCTTGGCACCTATGATGTATTTGCCCAGTATAGAGGAGCCGTCTTTCATAAATGCATTTGAACTATATCCATTACTGATCAAAAGCTGGTGGACCACTTTCATATCACTGTGCATCCTGGAAACAGTTTTGTTCAGCTCAGTGATGCGATTACCAATATCTGAGGGAAGAGAATACTCTAATCACAACACAGCATTCAGGCATTTTAACAATCCTATTTGGTTTCTACAGGCTGGGGGATTGAATCAAACTATTTTTATTAGAGTCCAATAAAATTATGTAAGTCTGAAAATGGATGATGAAATAATAGGGATGGGACAATATATCGACATTCAATATACTGCGATATAAAAACATCACAATATGCATTGCTTTGTCTAGCAATATATTGTGTGGTCTCCATACATCAGCGACTTCATATTTTTTGTAAATAAGATAGCCTAACAGAATGTAATTCAATATATCTGGGTGTAGAGAAATGCTACAATAATACAAGAAAGAAGGGGGTGAAAACAACAAGCAAGCTAGGTCTGTGAGCCAACAGGACTTTTCAGTGCATCACTTGGAACTACCAGCTACTACTGAATGTTAAGCCCTGGCAGATTGGTACCAGTGTCAGTTACCTTTTCTCTTGGCCTCCTCGAACTCCCTGCAAGCTGACTCAATGTAGCGCTGCACCAGAGCCCTGATCACCTGCTGCCGATAAGGTAGCTGGCTGTCTTCAGATCCCTTATCATTGGGCTTTTTACATGAAACATAACATAAAACATGCTTGTTTAACATCATACAATGCAGTGCATAACTAGCAAATAATATATAGACTGAAATCATTATTTTACAGTCAGATTGACTCCTGTATGTGGGCATTACACACACGTACCATAGAGGAAAGAGGGGGGTAGTTTTGCTCAGGCTTACAAGTGCAACAGCAACAGATCCGTCTAAAGATACCCCTGGAACATAATTTGAAGCAAATGAGTAAAAAAAAATACAACAGGACTTGCAGGCAAGTGTAATGGGGTCAGAGCACTGGAAACCTCACCAACCCAAGCAATCGAGAATGTAAAAACAATCATTACAATATGCACTGTACAAGTCCTCAGCCCTCCAAAAACTACACAACCAAAAAATAGAGAATATCTTTGTCTTTTTAAAGATAAACTCCTGCAACAGTTCTTGTGGCCCCTCTCATCAATCTTCTTCATTAACAAAACTCTAGTAATGTACCTTAAAGCTGCCCATAGCAGGAAGCATTACATGGAGTGCTCTAGTGCTAAAAGTGCAAAATAATGTAACGTCACTGTCAAATGTATGCAGATTATATGCAATATAAAAAGAAATTAGTCTTAATAAAAGTTCTAAGGTGAAAACTGTCACCATAAAATAAGACAAAAAACAAGAATTGCCACTTTTTGTTTGTATGCATCTGCCAAACAGTCAAATTCATGGAAACAAGACAAATGTGAGGTCACTGACCTTGACCTTTGACCACCAAAATCTAATCACTTCATCTTTGAATCCAAGTAGATGTTTAAAACAAATTTGAAGAAATTCCCTTAAGGTGTTTGTGGCATATCACATTCACAAGAACAGGCCAGATGGATGGATAGATGGACAACTGGAAAACACAGATCAGGGGCAGTGAATCCCAGTCCTCGAGGGCCGCTGTCCTGCTTGTTTTCTAACTATACCTGCTCTACCCATTGCTGATTACCTAGATCAGGTGTGCTCAGTGAATCAGAAGCTGGAAGATACCATTTTAGATGAAGGTGGAGTGAGTATTTTTGAGTATTTCTTTTGGGTTGTCCTTTCATCCATCAATCAGATCCATTCATATGAATGCGATATTTCAGGAACACCTTGAAGGAATTTCTTCAAATTTGTCACAAATGTTTACTTGAACTTTGGTGGTCCATGATCAGTGACCCCACATCTGTCCAGTTCCCGTGAATTTGACTGGTCGGTGGAGGTATACAACCACAAAGTGGTAATTCTATTTTTATGTGTTGGAGCTCACCTTATGATATAAAAGATAGCTTTGGGTGAAGGGATGATGTTAAAGGGCACAGGCATGGTGAGGCCTTCTCTGAAGTAACTGAGGTACAGCTTTGACCTGGCAAATTTCCACTCAACATCTGCATCATCCTGAATTAAAACGGTTGAGATGTCAGTGCCAGCCCTCGGTTTCTATCCTTACAGCAAAAGTAACATAGAAATATTTCTTCACCTCAATTTTCTGAAAGGAGTTGGTGATCATAGCAATAAGCATGTTGAGCAGCACGATGACAATAACAAGTGTGTAGATGCCATACAGAACCCTTCCTACAAACTCTGCTACCACAAACTGTGGCATGTCCACGTACTCCTGGCTGACCACACCAAACATGGTCCAGAATAAGAAGCGGAATGTCTCGTTAAACCTGCAACAAGTAGGGAAGAGTGTTGGGAAGTTTTCAGACCATAATTATACTGATCAGGATTCAGTGTCCTGGTACTAGTAGCTTCACTCTCTGAACTGAAGAAAAAACTCCTATAATATAGAGTAAGTGCACCTCTTTTCATGCCTGAGTTTTATAATGTTGTATTGTGTGTGTGTTAAATTTGTGGCCCAGCTGGTTTATCAGTTTAGCTTGGTACAGGTATTATGTGGCAGCTGTTTCCCCCTGCAAAGCAGCAAATAAGCTTATCTTCTAACATTTCAAATGATTCCTGTGTATTTGTCCACACTTTGTCAATGTGAAATCATATTTGTACTCTCCCAGAACCAAATCAGCAACCTTGTGGATCTGAAGATCCCACATTCTTACTTGCCAAGTTGTGGTGTGATGACATAAGGAACATAGATATTGTTGATGCCACAGAGGAAAGCAGTTCCAATGATCATCAATATGAACATAAATCTAAAAAAGAAAAGAAGACATTCTGTCATGTGCACTGAACTCCCTTCCAGACACTCATCAATATACAAATATGCAGATGTACAATGCAAGAAGCATTCTTATTACCTCATCATATCATCAATCATCTTCCCTATGGAGATCTGCATCGTTCCCAGAGCCTCCTCAGCTGGCAGGATGTACGCCAGACGTGTGAAGCTTAACATGCTGGTCACTGCAAACAGCACCTCTGCAATCAGCTGGGGGTCCTCCTGATGCCAGTCATCACGCACTGCGGGACAATTACATACAGTAAAACAGACCAGCTGAGCATTAATAACTTCCAGGATCTCCAACAATCATTTTGGATGAATGATCTGACAGTGTTCTCACAAGTCTCAGTGAAGTAGGCACACTCCTCTATCCCATTCATCTCACTGCAAAGGAAGTAGCCTTTGAGCAGGATGAGCACGCGTAATGCAAAGGACGCCAGGTACATGCTGAGCACCATCACGTCCAAGCAGTTCCACCAATCCAGGAAGTAACTCCGCAGCCCCTCAATCCATACTTCCTTACACTCATACCAGAAGAATCCTACATGAGATAGCACAGTAGAAACCCGATTCACACTTTATTAAGATATGACTTTTTTTTTTTAGAAGGGAATCATAACAAAAAGAGAGTGACCCTACCGACCACCCACACCATGTGGAAGGAGCTGTGTAGCAAGTTCTGCTGCCGGGAAGCAAACGTCTCTCTGTACATCTCCATTGTTATTGATTCTCCAAGTAATGTGATGAGAAACCACAGATAGGAGGCTGAGTGAAGGAGAAACTTGATGACAGGAATCTTTATTATCTTTCCTACCTGGGTACAAAAAAGACAGATTGCTTTAAAATAGTGCTAAGTTATCACAGTTTATCAGAGAAACATGTGGAGATTTGACCTTTGATTTTGGTGCGATCCAGTAGATGAGGCAGAGGAAGGGCATGGTGAAAAAAATCCCCACAGAGACAAACATCTTCCAGGCCATTCTGCTGCCTCTCCAGCCTGAAAGGCTCCCACACCAGATGGATGACAGCACCTGCTGACAAATTGGGTGGGCCACAAACTATGCACACACACACACACACACACACAGATCAGATATGTCTTCTTTTATTTGTCTCTGGTCGACAGCAGTTTCTGCATCTAGCTACCTGCTTCTGGTTGTACTTGACAGCGAGCCTCAGGCGTGACAGGTTGGGTATTCCGTCCTCAAAAGCCTGCTCATTTAAGGCATCCTCGGTCTCATCCCCACAGCTGTTCAGTATAGTGGTCACCTCGCACTGGTTGCGACACATGCCCAGCAACTCAACAGCAAACTCCTGGCAGAGCTGCTCCAGGCTCAGGTACTGAGGCTGCAAGAGAGGCACAGTTGAGTCAAGAAACAACACAATCACTCGGTATTTATACTAAGCAGGAATATCTATGCAACATTGTCAGACCTTGAACTCTGGCTCTTTCTGTGAGAGCTTTGTGAGCTCTCTGCTGAGACTAAAGGCGCTCAGCATTGCATCATCAGAGGTGACAGACAGGTAGGCACGGCTGGCAATGCCACGGTAGGTGTTGATACGAGACAAGGAGAACTTCAGCAGGTCATACTGCCGCCCATTACGACATTCCAGACAAGCACAGGATACCTTATGTGGCCATGGGATGCTGTGACCTTTTTGGGTGAGCATGGTGACTATCTCATACAGGTCTTTCTGGCAGGCTAAGGTCAGGGGGGTCACACCGGGGGCAAACTGGGAGTTGTCAATGGAGTGATCAAAAATGGCCTGAGAGAAGGAGCGTACATCCATCTTGTTGCCTTTCTCTTGGTCCAGGCGGTCCAGCAGACGCTTTACCACTCTAGGTTGGTTGGTGTCCACAGCGACCAGCAAGGCCTCGTGAATCTGCCGAAAGTCAAACTTGACCCCCTGCAGGAGGGCGTCCATGGCATCCTCGTTGCCCAGCCGGATAGACAAGTTGAGGGCCTCTCTCCACTGGCGGTCCTCAGATTCATCCAGCTGGCGGATAATGCCATCACCAGTCTTCAACAGTCCACTCAGCAGCTCTGCTTTCCCCTCCTGAATGGCGCTGATGAGCTCCGGAGGAAACCGCATCTTCTTGTTCATAATCTCGCGCCATTGTTCTGGCTGAGAGGCAGAACAGTACAGTCAGCAGGAGGATGGAGAAGGACAACTTACAGTTTGATTTCATTAGAAGAAATTAACACTAATAGAAAGAAAGAAAGATGTAGAATAAATGAAAAGCATGGCGCATACTAGGAACAAATAAGTGAAATTTATTTTATGACATCAGGGAAGAGTGAACTCATAAATAAAAAAATCCAGATTACGTATACCATGCGATAAAATCAAGATGTTTAGAAGACACCTGTAGCACAGTGGCTTTAAATGTAGTCACACTGCAACAATTTTTTTAAAATCTCATCTATTGAATGACAAATTCTATGAACCGTGTGTAAAGAAAAGTCTGCTTACCGTGAGGTTTTCCATTTCTGATGACAATGAAACACAGTTTTCTGCTGTGATCCTTAACTGAAAACACCAACAATTTCTCTGGAGACATGAAATATATTTTTGACAGTTATTCTGAGCCTCAGAGATGAAGGTGAGAGATGTCAGTAGATTGCACAAGCAGCTTCAACAAGAGGAGAACTGAGGTGTCCTAGATCATGTGCTACCGACTGACTGACTGGAAGCAGCAACTACAGACTCAATAACACTTGAATCTCCCATGGGGTAAGGCCAATTAAAATGTAGCTGCTTCAGTGTTTAATGCTCAGCTGGGCCGACACCAAACTGTTTATGCATTCAAAGAGGAATTAACTCTGGTCTCCAAACTGGAAACAGTGTCATGCTACAATTAAGGCAGCTGTTACTGAACAGGTAGCAGCTGTCATTGCTTCCCCCAGAGGAGCTGAAAGTTCAGTGCAGTGGGGAAAACAAGATGATTTACTAATTATTTTCACTGCCTCCTTTCAATGAAGTTCTCCTTGTGGAAGTCTGTTATCGTCTAATTCCCGATATCATTCATTTTTTTTATTTCATCTGTGTTGTTGAATATTTTAATTGCTTGATGCTGTCTTAGCTTGAATACTTTATGGTTTTGAGAAGCTTATATTTAATAGCACTTCATCACATGCTGTTTTAACTTCATGTGTGTTGATACTGTAGGTGGGGGCCAGCAGATGGCCAAAAAACATTTTCCATGATGCAATCTTGGAAAAGAAAGTCAAATTTCTTTTGCAAACCATAGCTAAACTTTTCTTTTTTTTTTTTTTGCTAAAGAATGAATCCAAAGACCAGGTCAGTGACATGTTTATGTGTCACCTTATGACAGCAGAGGGGGCAAGAAGACCATTTTGAATCTAAAGATGAGCTCTTTGTTTCTTTTGGCATGGAAGGTACTAAAATATGACAGATGCTACTAACATTTCTAAAATATATGATTTGTCCAAGTCGTGTTCTTTAGTGGGTTGTTAATCACCGCAGAAATATTTGGTGATAAAGAAAAAGGGCAGTTCCAGTTTAAAACATAATTATCTGTTCAGTTTCCCAGGAGTGAATGATCATAAATGTAAAAGTGAACATGGATTTTACAAACATCATAGCTTTGACGTGGTTTTGGGAAACAGTTCCTGGACAATAAAGCTTCAGAACAAGAAGTGACAAATGCGGCACAATTCACACGGTTTTGTCATATTTCTTTTTTTTTTTTATAACAAATACTCAAATTATAGTTTTCTTCGAAGGTTAACAAGGGCACAAAAGGATGTTCAACAAATCTCTAAAATGTGTCCTTCATGAAAAGCTGGAAAGGAATTAAAACAGAGCCACAGGAATCTAACAATACTGTCAGTGTATTAAGAGGAGACACAAACTAAAATGTAGCCAGAAAACAACATAATGTACTTATCCAGGAAAACAACATTATAGTCATGGCAACTGATTGGTAAAGAAGAAAATACCTGCATGTAATGGCATCACTTCAATAAAGTACAATATAAACACATTTTAGTTTAAAAACTCTGGAAACTGACATGTCAAGGAATATTTTATGGAGGTATACAGTACTTTCCTGGAGTGATGTCCACATATTAAGCTGCTTAAGTTTTCCCCCTTCCTTTGAAGAATCCTCCCTCTCCCATTTGCAAATATTTAAATTAGCCAAGTTACATAAAAAAAAAAGTGATTACAAACAGGAAAAATAACTTTTCTTTAGCTGAAGTACAAGAGGCTTCTCTTGCATTTGATGTATATATTTTTTAACCACTCAAAAGTAAAACTCAACTTATTATAAAACTATACACCAGAGAAAGAGAAATGTTATTTGTAAACAAATTTTTGGAAACTACACAAATTTTGGCTGGGAGCAAATTATGTATAATTTAGCTTTAAGCGATATTTTATTATTTTATAGTTATCACTTTAGAGCACAAACTAAACTTTCCCAAGAAGTTATTTGTCTTCTTGAGGAAAAGACCACGTAAAATGTATAACTGCCACATGGAAAGACACCGATTTTCCTCTGAGGCTGTCATTTCCTCTGTTTCCAGGAAAGTAATCATGGTTTAATACTGATGAATTGTTGCATCACGATCGAAACCTGTCTCGGCCAATTATAAAAAAACAAACAAAAACAAACAGTAAAGTTCATCAAAAATGCTGTTGACAACTGAGACAACGGGAAAAAAAAAGTTTTTAAAACTTCCAATTAACACCACTATTAAAACCAAACATACTTCAAATTCAAATCAGATTCAGTGGAATCAATCATTATTCAGTGAAAACACGCACACACACACACACACACACACACAAAAAGAACATTCTCTATATTCACATATTACTCCTGAAAGACAAAGTTAAATACAACCTAAAATGTACAAAGAAACTTGTTTCATGTGAACAAAAAGTAGTGTTCACGTTGTGATGAATAGTGCAGGTCAGCTCAGCAGGATTTAGAGTCAATCCTCCTTTGATTCTGTGTCCTCCTTCATCTTCTGTTCTTGCATGCGACTCCGAGTGTGGCCTCCATGAAATAAATAAACAAATGAATAATCATCGCTTTGTTAGAGGACCATCCATCCACAAGCCATATGATTAACAGGTCAGAAGACTGATAAAAGCAAATAAAACTGAATATATATGGCACTTTTGACTTACTCATCTCTGCAAGCTTCTGTATCAGTGTAGAATCTCCACCAGATTTGCTGCAAATTAAAATACGTAAGAACTTGTATACATTATTGTAGCGTACATATTCTAAGACAAACTTGACCCCTGTGAGAGGGTGTCCATTTCTCAGTTATACTTTTTCTAAAACACTATGTCGTGTGTTGCTGTAAAGTTAATAAACCAGGATTCTAATATAACACTATTTACGACCAACCTGCCATCAGCTTCGTCTTGTGCGTCCACATCAAACCGCAGCCTCTTCAGGGGCTTTGGAGCGGAGCTGAGATCCAGAGTCCGCTTAAGGGAGTGATCTCTGCTATTGACCATCTGATTGATCTTCTGGAACCGATTGGACGGCTGCAAATGAAAACAAAATGGAAACAGCAGAGCAAAAGATCACCGTCACAGCAGCTGTTAAACTGAGATTATTCTCACATGCTATAGTGCAAATAAAAAAGGATCATACCCCGAAAGATTCACCAATCGATACCAGCAGTCTAAAAGAAAAAGCAATAACAAAAGTTATTTTTACAAAACAGGCTTTTCTCAAGATTAATTCTACTTCAACAGCGTATTTTCTCTTTCTTCCAACAATCCCACAAGTTGTCTAAGGAACATCAATATGCCATGAATATGAAGGACTTACCTGGAGCGAGGAGTCATGATACCTGGGCTTTTCAGAGGGGAAATGTACACATTGTTGCTGCCAGGCACACGCAGAGGCGAATTAGGAAATTTGTAGGGGCTGCGTGGTATTTGTGGGATTGGAGAGAGGGTAGGTGGCTGCAAAAAAGACAAAACAGCAACAATGAGAGGTTATAGTAAGTAGGTGCTGTATCAGTGTTTATTAAAAAAAAAAAAAAAACCACACTGTAGCTCCTAATGCGGGAGGTGTTTTACCCTGGGAGATGCGTACTGCAGGATGTTGGTTTTCAGCTTCTGCATGAACACTTGATTGTAGAAGACAATAATGGAGTCATAGTGGCCCTCAGTGATCAAGACATGCTTAAAGGTCTGCAACACACAGTGCCATATAGAGGCAATGGCTGTTTGTCATAAATCAACCAGAACTATGACCAGCAAAAATAAAACAAGAGACATCTTTAAAATTGTAAATGGCTGCATCACCTCCTGGTTGGTGTTGGGCATGTTCTTGTATGCTGTGACAATGGACTTGAAGCGTACATCCACACTCTTCACTTTACATATGGCGTACATGGCTGACATCATCAACTACAAGAATGATGAGAAGTGGTTTGAGGAAAAACTAACAAACTAAACAAAATATGAAAGACGTGATGAGAACAAGAGACTGAAACAAAGAACAAGAGAAATGAAAGCCAGAAACAAAAGAAGACAACAGCATCATGTCAGGTGACCTGGTCGAGGTGACGGTCTCTCATCAACTCGTACTCGTGCTGCAGGGTGTACTGGAACAGAGTCCATATGATGGGCTCCAGTTCAGGGTGGGTGGACAGCAGGAAGGAGCAGAGCATTTTCAGCCTTGTGTAGGCAAGGCGGTACACTACAGTAAGAGGAAGCCATATAGAGCACATGACACAGTAAACAGTGATGGAAATGGAAAAAAATCCTTAAGGATCAATGTCTTAAATAAAACCAAAGGGAACAAATTTTTAAATTCTTCCTTCATTTTACACAAATAATGACTTGTGTTAATATATTTCTCTGTTCCAGTTGATTATAATATCAGATTTATAATCCACCTCAGATAAAAAGTGGAGTTTACTAAATTTTGTTAGTTTTTTTTTTTTATTATTATTATATAGAATATATACAGCAACTCAGAGACACTTGATATTTTGTAGGAATTGTAACTAAATAAAAAGAAAAAATGAAAATAAGAGCTTGAATAACTTCTTACATTTTTTATAAAAGAGACTGAGGGAGTTGGACTTTGGGAGATGCAGAGTCGGACCGGGCTGGGTCGGGGCCTGAGACGAAGCCTGAGAACTGGGTGTGCCCGGCGAATCAGGAGGCAAAACACGAAGCCCCGGACGCAGGGGAGACAGATATCTGTAAGGAGATTGGAGAAATAAGCAGGGCCTGCCAGTTACATCGAAAGAGAGGTAAGTGTAAATTAAACTTAGTGGTGTGAAAAAGTGTTTGCCCCTTTATTGATTTCTTATCTTTTTGCATGTTTGTCACACTTTTGTTTCAGATCAAACAAATTCGAATATTAGTCAAAGATGACACAAGTAAACACATCATGCAGTTTTTAAATGAAGGTTTTTATTATTAAGGGAAAACCAAATCCAAAACTGTATATACCTGTGTGAACAAGTGGTTTGCCCTTAAACCTAATAACTGGTTGGGCCACCCTTAGCAGCAACAACTGCAATTAAGCGTTTGATAACTTGCCATGAGGCTTTTACAGCGCTGTGGAGGAATTTTGGCCCACTCATCTTTGCAGAATTGTTGTAAGTCAGCCACATTGGAGGGTTTTCGGGCATGAACTGCCTTTTTAAGGTCATGCCACAGCATCTCAATTGGATTCAGGTCAGGACTTTGACTAGGCCACTCCAAAGTCTTCATTTTGTTTTTCTTCAGCCATTCAGAAGTGGACTTGCTGGTGTGCTTTGGATCATTGTCCTGCTGCAGAACCCAAGTTCGCTTCAGCTTGAGGTCACAAACGGATGGCCGGACATTCTCCTTCAGGATATTTTGGTACACAGCAGAATTCATGGTTCCATTTATCACAGCAAGTCTTCCAGGGCCTGAAGCAGCAAAACAGCCCCAGACCATCCCACTACCACCACCATATTTTACTGTTGGTATGCTGTTCTTTTTCTGAAATGCGGTGTTACTTTTACGCCACACATAATGGGACACACACCTTCCAAACAGTTCAACTTTTGTCTCGTCTGTCCACAGAGTATTATTCCAAAAGTCTTGGGGATCATCAAGATGTTTTCTGGCAAAACTGAGACGAGCCTTTATGTTCTTTTGGCTCAGCAGTGGTTTTCGTCTTTGAACTCTGCCATGCAAACCATTTTTGCCCAGTCTCTTTCTTATGGTGGAGTCATGAACACTCAGCTTAACTGAGGCAAGTGAGGCCTGCAGTTCTTTGGATGTTGTTGTGGGGTCTTTTGTGACCTCTTGGATGAGTTGTCGCTGCGCTCTTGGGGTAATTTTGGTCGGCCGGCCACTCCTGGGAAGGTTCTCCACTGTTCCATGTTTTCGCCATTTGTGGATAATGGCTCTCACTGTGGTTCGCTGCAGTCCCAAAGCTTTAGAAATGGCTTTATAACCCTTTCCGGACTGATAGAGCTCCATTATTCTCTTTCTCATTTGTTTTTGAATTTCTTTGGATCTCGGCATGATGTCTAGCTTTTGAGGATCTTTTGGTGGACTTGTGGGGGAGAAAGAGAAATTGAACTCAGGTGTGATAAACCAGAGTTAAGTTATGTTTTGACGGGGGGGTGAACCACTTGTTCACACAGGGCTATGTAGTTTTGGATTTTGTTTTCCCTTAATAATAAAAACCTTCATTTAAAAACTGCATGATGTGTTTACTTGTGTTATCTTTGACTAATATTTAAATTAGTTTGATGATCTGAAACATTAAAGTGTGACAAACATGCAAAAAGATAAGAAATCAGTAAGGGGGCAAACACTTTTTCACACCACTGTAAATGTAAATCAAAGATAATTATAGTTTGGGTCCAAAGCTACAAAAAGGGAGGCCCATCGTGAGTACAAGTCATGGAATTTAACAGTTAATACCTTGATGCTTCAGAATCTGAATTTGTCTGAATCAGAATCTGCTTTATTGGCCAGGTGTGTCGGACACACGAGGAATTTGACTCTGGTGCATCGGCTCTCAATGTGCATGTACTGTACATATCCCCATGCAAGGGACAAGTAAACAGTAAACCAACATAAGGCTGTGTAATATAATATACAACTAAGACTTCACCCAAGTGAAAGGATCAAGCACTCCACTCACAGTGATTTCACAACAGCTAAGAAAGTTTTAGACTAAGACTGTCACACATCAGCAACTGAAAGACAGCGACTGTGGTGTGATGCACTCACAGGTCAGCTGCAGTGTGGTTGTGCTGCAGTGGTTGGCTGAAACTAGCTGGAGTCTCCACCTGCTCTGCTGCTCCACCCTCATGCTCTTGTCTTAGCAGTTCAAACAGCAAGGAGCCCTGCAGACACACAAACATGATTACTCACATTTAACCAAGCACTTAAAAATTTTTTTCCCAGCGCATCTAAAATCACACAGACTTATGACACCTTGACATGAGGGTAGTTTTTCCACCTCTGACAAGACTACAAACTAAATCAAGTTTTACTGATTACATCTTCACATACACCTGCGCACCTCTGCAAACAAAACTTCTTAGTTAGGTGAAAAAGAAAGCGATACAAACACTGTTATCTCAACCGCAACATTATCACTGGAGGTACTGCTGTCTGTTTATCTATTAGTGACATGACGAAACCATGAGAGGAAAGCAAGTCAGGGGCGTTATGAAAAAAACCTACTGTATCTTTACTGCAGTGTACCTTTTCAAATTTGGTTTTTTACCCAAAACTAGCAGAGCCCTCAGTGAGATCAGAAAAACATTTTAAATAAACTCAACTTTCAAACGCTGACTAAAAATATAGCTGTTCCTAATTTTAAGTTGACCCAAAGACACTCCCTATAATATCTTTTTAGTGGTTGTCATAAAAATCTCCTTAACAGAAACAAAAAGGAAAGAAGACATTCCCTCTAAACCCCCACACAACATAGCAAAATCTATGCCAACATGCACGCACACACCGAGACAAAGGTCAGATGACGTCATACGGAGAAGTGGGTGTGACTTGTGTCTCACACTCACACAGTGACTGCAGGTACAGACCTGCTGTTGGTACATACATTATATTGCCCGGCTGACTCCTCACACACACACACAATTGCAAAAGTACACTTGTTTGCCAGCACTTTACTGGCATTTAGTGCCACTAAATGCCAGTAAAGGACACCAACCCTCATACACTTTATTTGATTTAGTAAAATCATTGCTTAAGAGTTCTGGGTTCATTGTCAACTATAGATTCATGTTAAATTTGAGGTGTCTAAATATTACCTGGTTATTTGTCTGAAAACTGAAAGTGAGACAGCCCAACCAAACCTCTTCAGAAAAGAGAACATGATATAACTATGTCAAGTGTCAGCAGGCAGGAAATGATCCCCTGCTGAATACACAAAAAGCTCTGGTGGCTTGGGGTGGTGATCTAAACACACCTGTAGCAGTCAAGAGGAAAAACATTTTAACTGAAGTTTGTAATAAAAAGAAAATGCGAAAATTATGGACATCGCCAAATTCGGAGAGCCCTGTTATTCAAATCTCAAATAAATGCAAAGCCAAAGCAGCGACGGGAGGACTTTGGTCCCAGTGGAGGCTCCTCCCTCTGCGCCTTGACGTTCAGCCTCCAACCTAAAAGGCTTGTGATTTACAGTGCAGCTGGAGCAGAATAACGTGATCTCCACTGACCAAGAAAAGGAGAACAAGAGCAGGAAAAACCAACACAGGCATATGACTCTCAAGGAACATTTAAACTGTGGAAGAATACTAAGACGACCGAGGACAGCTTTCACACAAGGAACACTTATCTAATGGACTGTGGACACCAGTACAGGTAGTTGTATTTCACCTTCTCCTGCCAGCTGCAAATAGTTGGATTAACAAGTTGAAAATGGAAGTACATGACTTAGGAAAATGTTTTCATTAAACCTACCAGCCTGGTCTAAAGATGGATTATAACACCCATAATAACCTCAGTATACTGGATGGCACTGAAATCTACATGAACTGCAGCAAGAGTGATGATTTCAAATACCCTCTGTACAGCTCGGTTTTCAGCCTGGTGTTTGTAGTTGGACTTCTTTTCAACATGGTGGCTGTATACATTTTTAGCTGTACATTAAAGCAGCGGAACGAGACCATAACATACATGATCAATCTTATGGTTTCAGACTGTCTCTTCGTACTCAGCTTGCCTTTTCGGATTGTTTACTTCATTAAACGTGACTGGCTGTTTGGAAGTGTACTCTGTAAGATCTCTGTGGCGCTGTTCTACACCAACATGTACAGCAGCATCCTCTTCCTCACCTGCATCAGCGTTGACCGTTTCCTGGCCATTGTGTACCCATTCCACTCCCAGATAATTCGCACAAAGAGGAGTGCCAAACTGGCCTGCTGCGCTGTGTGGGTCATGGTTCTTTCTGGAAGTATACCCACTGGGTTTCTCTTGGACACCACTTCACCCAACTCCTCCTCAAACTACTGCTTTGAAAATTACTCCAAAAAACAGTGGAAGTCTGAGCTGTCCAAGGTGGTGGTGTTTATCGAGACCGTGGGCTTCATCATCCCGTTGATGCTCAACGTCTTCTGCTCGGTTATGGTGCTACGGACACTGAGGAAACCCCAAGCCATAAGCCGCGGAGGAAAGATCAACAAGGCAAAAATCTTGAGGATGATCATCGTGCACCTTTTCACCTTCTGCTTCTGTTTCATACCCTACAATGTCAATCTCATCTTCTACGCTCTGGTCCGCTCCAATGTCCTGACGGGATGCTACACAGAATATGTGGTCAGAACCATCTATCCCATTGCCCTGTGCATTGCAGTGACCAACTGCTGCTTCGATCCGGTCATTTACTACTTCACTTCAGAGACCATTCAGAGCTCAATCAAACACAAGTCCACAATATGGCAAAATGGCTCTAAGCTATTTGACAGACTGCAGACAGACAGCATACAAAGCAGTCCAAGTACAATACCAAAAAGCCTGACATTGATGACTCTGAAGTCCAAGGTGTTTGAGACCTCAGTCTGATGACAACGTTTGAGATAATAAACTGCACTGCAGCATAAATACCAGGGTGACAACTCACAAAACAAGTTAGAAAACTCTTCTAGTAGGGAATGAGTGAAAACCTTATATTGTACATTAGTGGAAATGACAGGTGTATAAAATCACAGTCTTGTGCACCGTGCTGCAAATAAGTATTAGCTTTTGCACATAAACTGCAATTGTAATTTCCCTTTGGGGAAAATTCTGCTTTGGCTCTTTTTATGTACTTTACTGTGCAATGTCCAAGTACTTGTGGCCTCACTAATGCTTTTAGGCTACCAAATGCTACCAAGTCATTTTTCCATGGACTCAGCAGTTATGCACATTCTGACAACACAGTTACAAGTACTGTGCTAGGCAAACCTCATGAATGCACAATGACGCAATACAATCTACAGGTGTGGTCAACAATTGCCACCTGAACTGAATCACCCAACTGTGCCTTTGGCCTTCTTGTATCTAGACAAATAGTCATTTCTGTAGCACACAACTGGAGGGTGGAAACCAAAGTGAAAGTGAGGTACAACACAAAGAATTTTCAGTTTGTAGATCCAAGGTAAAAATTTCTCATGTTGTACCTCACCTCCAATTTAGTTTCCACGCTCTAGTTAGGGAGGGTAAATACATAACTTGAAACTATGCCAAAAGGAATCTGCCCTAACATACTTCTGCATATACAACACATCTGAAGTGTGAAAACTAAATTCAAGGTGAGGTATAACATGAGGAAGTTTCACTCAACACATTTTCACAGAAATTGCTAAGAAAACACTGACCATCCAAGTCAAACCAACTATAAAAGAAAAGTTCGGTGCAAATGGGATATGGTGCAACTTGAATATGTGTTTCTTCTTGCAAAAGCACTAATGCAGTCATGTTGAGAGGCTTTGCCTGGGGGCCTGCACTCCAACGGTAGTCTCATCTCCACCTACTGCACTGGTGAGGGAGGTTGTGAAATCTAAGCAGACGAGCGACAACATGCCTCAAAGCAGAGTAACACTTAGAAAATACAGCACCGTGGTGGTCGCACCAGCTGTGAAGCATATCAGGTGAATAATACAAAAAACTGACGTACAAGTGTCATCCATGAGACAAAACAATTTACATTTCTTATTTTGCCATGTTTGGACACCTTACAGCTTATAATACTATATGTAATACAAATAAACTGCAGGTTTACATTTACAATTCAGACGCACTTTCTCCTCCAAGCACAAATAAAGTATGTATCCTGGATTAATGGCTTCATGCAGAACAAGTCGACATGATAATCACATTGTCCCGATAGTACATAAAAAAATAAAATAATTACGATGATTACAATTTTTTATTGCATTTTTATTTTGCAAAGGTTTATTGAATTGTATTGTGAAAACCAGTCCATCTATCTGTAATTAAAAAAATCATACCATGAACGTAAGAGTTGTTTTTTTATACACACACAGAGAAGAATAAATCTTAACCAGTTATGTTGCTATCAAGATGTGTTTGTTATGTATCTTTATTTTTAATTCAAGTTTGTCTAACAAGGGCCAAATGGTGTAGTGGTGTGTACACTGTATTAAACTGATATTCTCCAGATGAGGATTATTCACAGAGACTCAACTAGCTCAGTGCTGCTTTACATTACATCCCATGTTTAACTTTCACTGTCTGTGATGTGTATACAAGATCGGATGGGAATGATTACTGCCTTTCTTAGGTTCACTGCACTCAAAATACCCATCCTTAAGGTTTTGACTTTATCTGTGACCAAATACCTTTCTACAGTTTTCTCTAGGACACTGATGTCTCCCTCTCTCTGCAGTGACGTCCCAAAGTGTGTGATCATAGCACCTCCTTTCAGTGAATTCTTGCTATTGCGTGGAGTGCTGGCAGATAAGTATAGTTAATAATTCACTGGTGTAGGTTTTTAAAAAGCAGCTCTAAACATAATTCCCACAACAAAAGTAATGAAACTATGTGCGCCCTAACCATAAGGCTGACCACAAATTTCATTTCAGTTAAACAGCTAGCTGGTTAACATCTGTCCGTCCTCAAAGCTGACCTGGAGATCACAATTGGACTTATGAGCTACAAATGAGGCAATCTGAATTGACCACCAGTGTGTGTAGGAGAGGAGAAGGGGGATGATGGGATGGCAGAGCAAGAGAGAGGGAGGGAGGGAGAGAGAGCCCCTGGCTTGTGTGTGGGTGCGGGTGTACACTGTTCCAATCAGTAGCATGGGCGCTGTTACAGCATCCCAAGTTCTCCTGCTGCTGATCACCAGCCGACTGAATGAGAACTTTATCATGCTGTCGCTGCACTGATGAGATCCAGCAACTGGTGAGTGATGTGATTTATCTGTTTCAATATTCTCCTCAATGAGCTTTACATGTAATGGATTAATATATGTTACTTATATAAAACAAATACAAACTTATCAGGCTTTAGTAGTATACTTCAGTGAATAAAGATATTCTTGCATTTCTTTGGCTTTTACAGCAAAAGAACCAAATAAAAGCAAAACTGTAATGTTCTGGGATTAAGAGTCACAATGCAAAGTTCAATTTAACAGTTACCTCCACATTAAACACTTACTATGGGTGATAACTGAATTATATCAGCTGTTATCACACTCACAGTGCATATCTGAAGCAACTCAGTATTATGTCAGGAGAAAGAAAATATTCACTACTTCATTAACAGGATCAGGGATTACATGTAAATAAATGGCAGACAAAATTAGCGGCTAGAGAAGAGAAAGTATATTTAAATGCCCAATCACAAAAATAAAATAAATTATATTAATGTCTTATAAAATGATACTACTGAGAATGAAAAATGTTAATGGAAATACTACTTGAAATTTGACCGAAAGCTGTGACAGTCAATGGGTTTGTTTCTAAAAATAATTTCACAATTGTATTATTGAAACATATAATAAGTGTTAAAATGATTAGTTCATTTTTTTTTATATAGTTTGTGTGGGGGGGGGGGGGGGATTCCACAAAGGTTTATATCCTCTTTTGCGAGGAAGCCCTGGAAAGTCCTCAGTCAATGATATTAATTCAGCTGGTCATTTTGGGGAGTTGTTCAGCTGCCTTGTTATCTGATAAATTGGTCAAAAAAGCAACATTATGTAAAACCACAGGGTGTCTCATAATGACATGTACCAAACACAGGACAAATGCATTAGTGAAGGCCCCAACAACCAGACCCTACAAAACTGACTGAAAGATGCTTAAGTGGATGTTTGCACACTTTACAAACTACAGCCTAATTACTAATTAACTTAAATGAACACTTCTGACAATCTCATAGAAGAACTTAATAAGCCTCATTCAGGGCAATAGTAGTTTTCCCCAGTCTGCAGGTAATGAAACCAAATGTTTGCTTGTTTTATGAGAGCAGGAAGTTGCAGTTAAAATGTTAACAGAATTCATCTAAATGTCATCTTGTATATGGAAAAATTAATTCAGCTATGTCCTAGCATTTATGTTGTGTGTCACCTGGTATTTGTCTCTCCTTAGCAAATTTACATTTCATAAAACAGCACTTTGAGTTTATTAAGCTTTTACCTGCCACAGGTTTAACTGCTCCTGCAGAGGCTACTGGTCTTTACTCCTGTCTTATGATCACTGAAGCCAACCTAATTTCCTCGATACCAGGACGCAATGATTTGAAGTGGTGAAGCAGTAAATCATTTTGAGACATGGAGCCGTGGAATATGACTCATGCACCAGCTAAGCCATTCTCACCTTCGTCTAACTGCACTGTGGACACGACCTACCGCTTCACTCTCTATCAAGTGTCTTACAGTGTGATCTTCCTGCTGGGGTTGGCCACCAACGGCCTGGCTCTGCGCAAACTGTGTCTGTCTCCCTGCACCATGAACAGCACAACCATCTACATGGTCAGCCTGTCAGCTGCTGACTTGTTTTTTGTGATCTCTCTACCTCTGAGAATCTACTACTACTATCAACAAGCCTCGTCCTCCATGACAGGAGACCCAAGCGGTTGGTCTCCCATGGTGGCATACTGCCACCTAACATTTACCCTCAAATACATCAGCCTGTATGGAAGCATCTTCTTCCTAGTGTGCATTGCTGTGGACCGCTACTTTGCTGTTGTGTGGCCAATGGCATCAACACTCCGCAGGCTGCGTGTTGCACAGCTGGTAAGCGGGGCGATCTGGTGCCTGGTGCTGGGCCTCAGTGTGAGCCTGCCTCTGCTGCTCTTCACAACAGCTCACCAACACCATTGCTGTGTGCTGGACCCATCCTCGCAAAGCCATCGCACCATGATCCTGATAGCCCTGGGCTTAGTGCAGGGGTCATTTCTGCTGCCCACAGTGCTACTTATCTACAGCTACTGCAGAGTGCTGAGTGTGCTTCGCCAGTCGAGACACCGTTCCCACAGGAAGCATCAGCACACTCTGACAATTATTTACTGGGTGCTGGGCATCTTCCTGCTGTGCTTCCTCCCCTATCACATCAACCTGCTGGGATACACCCTCACAAACCTAGGCCTGCTGCCTCACTGTGGCCTGGCCAAGTTGACCAAGGTTGTGCACCCTGTGGTGCTGTCACTAGCCAGCTTCAACTGCTGCCTCAACCCACTCATCTACTATTTCTCGAGCAGCCTGGTACACAAGGCGGTACCTGGCAGCAGGAAGAGGCAAAAACTGATTATTTCACACAACTGAAAGAATGAAATGGCAGATAACTGTGTGTGAAATATGTAATCTGTATTTTGCATGAATCTCAGCGGGTTAAACAGGTTTTGCATCTGTTCAATTAAGTGCAACGAAGTGTGTTGTGTCTTAGGGGAGCTTTGGGTTCAATGCCAGCTATGGCAGCTGTGTTTGTAAAATACTGATGTGTACTGAAATTTTTAATATGCAGTTAATGCTGAGTTTATGCGTAATCTGCCTAAATTTTCAAAAGTGCTACTCAACTACTGAGGAGTAGCTGTTGATCTTAAATAAACGATATGTTATTCCTGAATTGTAGTAATAATCAATACAGTATAAAAATCTGTAGATAGTATTATCTTGTCTTGGTCAATAAATACTACAGGTGGATATACTTGCATTATAGTGCCTATATATTTATGACGTGTATGTGAGGATCGTATTTAAGTACAAGGATTGCATAGTAGACATGAGAGATCAAACTGACCGTCCTCCATGCTATCCTTTCCATGATGAGGTTCTCGCAGGTCTCCAGATGTTTGATGATATCTTTGCTCAGAGAGTCCGCCTTAATGAAGCTCTCAATGACTTTGTAGAAGTTAAATGCAGTGAGGTTGAAGACATCCAGTATCCAGGGGAAACGCATGTCTGTTTCGGATGGTTCACCACCACAGTTGTATCCTGCAGTCTTAAAACTGCTCTCTAATTGCAAGGCGCAAACAACATTATTACAATTTGTCACACATCTACAACTTCAAATATTTAGTTACTGATGTCTGTAAGATACAACACAGCTGTTCCAAAAGTAGCACATGACGGCGGCTGTTATTAACTGGGAAGCAGATTATGAGACACACCTCCGTATGTTGCCATGACCACCTCCAACGCACAGGCCAACAGTGACGTATGGAATGTGGGGTCATTGAGGAGTTTACTGGAAGGAAAATCATAGGACTCAGCCCACAATACATAAAACGTCACGATATGTTAAAACAACAAAATGCTTTCATGCTCCGTCCAGTGACAGGCTTCACAATTCTCCAGTAAACTGATAAAAACCAGAAGACTGCACACACCTGAAATTCTGCACCGACAGTCGTTTCTCTTCCTAGAAAATAAAATACAAAAGTATTATCACTGAGAGTAAAAACAAGATGGGTCTGCGCTGTTTCAATCATTGTTCACTAAGTAAGGAAGTAATAAATCCTTGTATTCAGTCTAAACAAACTTCAATGTTAATAAAAACATAATGTATTGGATAAGGAGGCAACAACAGAACCAGCTCAGCACTCATGATTACACAGTGTGAATGGAAAATAATGTCACAGTCACTTATTTTTTTAAGGTACATAAATGCACAAAAATGGTTTTGACGTTTTGTTTCTGATTCAAACATTTCCCTTGTTCTGTAGATTAGAATGTTGCTAATAGCTAGTGTGCTAACCCAAGTGAACTTCAGGGTCAACAACAGGCCTATTTCCCCATCTTATGTTAACATAATTAAATTATATGGGAGTCTTCATTCGACACTGCGACCCATTTTTTCCATGATGCACTGTTACACCCCTAGCATTTGATAAGATCTATTATATCCAGTAGATAATCAACTGTGGTTTTTATGTTTTTTTCAGGGAAACCTGGTAATTACATTTAAATGACTTCAGCCTCTTAATAAAAAAGTAAACAATAAAAATATTCAATAAAATAACTGAAATCAAACTAATCAATGTACCGATTTCAGCATTGCCTCCATGACTTTGTAATACAGTTTGACACCAAGAGTAAATCTCTGAAAGACAAAAGAAATATGTAAATTAGACATTTCAATCATTTGAGCATAGCAGGTGTCACCGGTGTCTTGCGAATTAGCTCGCACCTGCTTTCCAAGTACTACGCAGTTTGGGCCGACTGTCTGACCAAATCTTTGGCTGAACGCCTGTCCCAGTGTCTCCAGTCGCTTCAGCACATCCTGCGTTGGGTCCACAGTGCAATTCTGATCACAGGAAAGCAGAAAACAGGAAATACGTGAAACTAAAGGTAGCAACACGTAGTTTCAGGGAGCATTATAATGAGCAGCAACACTTCTAGGGACCCACTTTGAAATAGGTAGCCAAGTTAGTGGATGGCTGATCCCCACTGGAGATGAGATCACCTCTCAACTGCTGAATGGAGGTCATGGCAGCTCTGACGACAAGCAAAAATATCACTAAGTCAAAACAATTCACACATTTAAATAACACATCACAACACAATCAATCAAATAAGCCCAATATACTACATACCATACAGCAATGCATGAGTAATAAATCCACAAATTATTTCCATTAACAAATTTAATGTTGAAAGGTGCTGCAGAAAGCAAACAACTCACGCTGCATTCACGCACTGTCATTAGGATGGAAAGAACAAATACAAAAGCACTCTTTACTGCGACTTGGGAATACTCGTGTATTATTCCAAGGGGCATAGCCCTAATGCTAATTCTGTAGTCACACCACCTTGTTCAAGTAAAATTTCCATGACGTCGTGTGGAGGATGACCTCTGACCCATACTGAAACTTAAAGGAGTAGTTTGACATTCCTTTCGTGTATTAACTATTTGTAGCAGTTTCTTACCAAGCAAAACCAGATAAACAGCTAATAGTTCCTATAAAAGTATCTGAATGGATTATATTAGTGTTAATATGAGATTTTATTTTTATATAACCATGGTCATGGACTTCCAGCTCTTCTGCCAGCTGGAGTGGGGAATATCATGGTCGGAAAATCCCCACATCTCTGACTTGGTATTACATGTCAGAGGCTGACGTGAAGGTTTTTTTCTGCTCAGCGGTTGAAATGATGCAACATAAATGTAATCATTTCCGATCTCACCCGATCGATCGGTGCAGCTCTAGTAAGCAATGATAAAACAATGAGTGACAACAAGTGAATGCTGCTAACTGCTCACCTGACTGGAGTCTGGGGAGGGATAAGTACAGCATCGTCATCTGCCAGGTTCTTCTTTGGCGTTCTCTCCACCTGTGCTCTGAAGGCAGGAACTATTAAACACTTATTAAAAGATCATTTTAACAGATCAACCAGACCGACATAAGAACACAGAGAGGTGAATAAAAGAAGAACTTGCATCTCAAATTTAGGTGCAAGAACACTCTCATCTCCATCAAAAAACAACCGTCCATCGATGTCTCTAGTCTTGAGGTAGTGCTCTTCATATTGTTGGTTGAGAACATTCACCTGTGGTGAAAATTGAAAACCTGAAGTAAGGTGCCCCCCACATACATATTTCAACACAATTCCCCAATTTGCACCAACTGATTGAATGTTCTCAGTGAAAACCTTCATTTGAAATGTACCTAAATCCAAAGGTGATATGTGAGACAATGTACCAAAATGTATCAAAAGTAAAAGCACTGTATGTTTCCTGCCACAGCCTTAAATTATTTGAGCACTGAATATATATTCACATACATGTCATCACAGACTTTATCTAATGTACAAGTTTTAGCAATGCATCATTTTTTTTCAGAATAGAATAGAACAGAATGTCCTTTATTGTCATTGTACCTGAGGGAAATATGGGGATCTTGAAAGATCCAATGAGTCCAGGAAGGCTGAGAAACTGGTCTGGTATACATTCTTCACCTGCAAATACAAATACACAAACAAGTGAGACCACCAACCCAGAGGAAATAGATATGTGTTACTGTATGCGATGGCTCTAAGAGCTATAAAAAGAGGAGGGCTCAGACCTCTTCTGCATTACAGTCATTCTCTTTGCTCAAGGTTTCAAGCAGCTGCATATCCACCTCTGGCTCCGGAGGTCGAGATTTGGCTTTGCTCTGGTTACGACGGGATGGTCGTGTTGGAGGGCTGTGGACTTTGTTGATGGCTGATTTTGAGAGAAAACCACTTTAAAAGTTAAAAAATCAACAGGAGCCACACACAACAAATTCTTTAGTTGCGCAGAAAATGCGCTGGAATTTGGAATAACTTTTTCTAGAGATGCACAAATCACAATTTTACTTGGCCAATATCTTTAAAAGTCTGACCTGCAGATTTTCTTTATAAGAACTAACTGACAGCATACACAGAGCTCTGAGTAACTTTTATTTAATGAAATATTAAACTCTGCTGATCAATCGGTGCAGATCTAACTTTTTCTATTTTTCATAGCTTGGAAACATAACTGACAAATCTACCACTATACTTTTTATAGAGTAATACACTACACTTGCACTGTGCATATGTTTTTAAGCAAACTGTAACTAGATCTAAAGCAACAGAGGTGCATTCATGTCTACATTCTGGTTAACTTGCTGTTTGTAAAGAATTTTTTCAACTGTACACTTCTCAGTTGGTGGATGTACAATCAGAAGTGACTGACGTGTATTAAATATAGACAGAGTTGAAAGTAAACGAGACTGACGCTTACTGTAAGGAGGCTGCAGAATCTCAGAAGGGCAGCGCTTGATGAAAAACTCCAGCGCACAAAGCAGCAGCTGGAATGATATAACCAGGTCATCCTCCATCTGCAAGGTCCTTCCTGCAGACAGCAGCGATGCCGTACATGAGAAGCATCATCACAACACTACTGATGTCGACCAGAAACAATTGAACTGCAGCCATAAGAAGAAACTTGTACGAATTCACTTGAGCCCTTCAGCTGAGCTCAAGGAAGGAAGGATGGAAAAGACAATGGAGCAACATGAAAACTATTCCATCAAGTGTGTTGACAGCTTGATCCTACTTGTTTTTGTTGTTACTGTGTTAAAGGTTTTACCTACCTTTAGCCAAAAGAAACATTGTCCAGCAGCTCTGCATGGTCTCCCTCACCCTTGAAAGCGAGACAATGAACCATTAAGTATGCACCAGTATCACAGTTTTATCACAAGCGTATGAATATCAAACACAGTACTATAAAGACTCTAAGAAAAAAGGAGTGACAGGTACATTCCCCCGATGTAAGTCTCCAACTTACTTGCCATCAGAAACCGAAGCAAAGATTTTCTTGCATGTTCTGAAATAAACACAAGTATTATGGCCAATTACAGTTTTGCCATTAACAGTTCTAAGCGAGACAAGCAGCTGTACTATATTAATGCGCTCACTCACTTCTCAAACCTCTGGAAGAGAGCCAGCGTCACATCATACTTCTTCTCCAGACGTGTCAGTGCTGAATTCACCTGAGTGCTTATTGTATCCAAGTTCACATCCAGCTTCCTCACGAGAGCCACAAAAAGCTTAACACTACAGAGATAAGGATGAATTAGTGTGTGAAAGGTAAAATAAACTGCCTAAGATTGGATAATTTAAGCCAAGTTCTCATACACCATAAAGTGTTTATTGCAGGTGTGGGATTTTTTTGTCAATGTATACAATAAAACTGAACAATAAAACTCATTGAAAACACACGAGAGTGCAGATTGTATTAAAAAATTTTAAATAATGACATTTGTAAGACTAGTTAAATAATTGCCAAAATTACATATGTCTGAAATGTGTAGCGTGTCTCATCAGGCAAAGTCCACACATTCTTCCTCAGTGTACTATGCCATGCAAGTAAGGATAGACATATGATAGAATTTTTACTTTTGGCAGTAAAAACTTTATATCACTTATATATTGCAGGAAGCTTCTTGAACAGGGTGCTTGTGTGTTGAGAAGTACTCTTGGCTGAACAAATGCAGTACCTCTCAGTTTGGTTACAGTTTATATATAGATGGAGCGTGGTGATAAGAGCAGCCATGTGTCCTGTGTTTAAAGAATGTCTATTCTAATGCCTGATATGACAGTATATGCATTAATATGAATTGAGTGCCTAGGAGTATCTGCCAATAACATGCATTATGCATAGCAAGTACTTACTTCAGACTGACTGCTTTCAGAACCTGAGTTAAAGTGAAACAGGCGGCATCCATGTCTGTCACAGTCACGAACAGACAGGCCCCCCACAGAGGGAGCTGCTGACTGCCCTGAAACAAAGTGTAAACAGAACAATGTCAAAAACTAATTTTGTTCGGGTTAAAAAGGGGGTTAATCACAAGCTTGACTTTTCATTTAAAAACTGCACAGAGAACCAAGAACATCACACAGATATTGTGCCACATCACCAGATTAGTGCAAACTGATATGTTGAGTACAACACAACATTTCAACAATCTCAAATTTAACATCCAATATTACAGGTAATACTCACATCTGACCTGAGACAGTATGATACGAGACATCTGCTTATTATGTGGAATATATGCTCATCTGCTATCCTTTCACCAGGCAAGGTAACTATTTGTCAAAATGTACATTGTTTCCCCATTTACTTCTACTTTTTTGAGTCTCTTCTACAAACGGTGACTTCATTTTGAGTCATTTTTTGATGCTGTACATGCAGGCATTTAATTCTGACAAAACTGTGTCAACCATGAGTAAGCTGTCTCCAGTAGAGATGTTTTTCTCTCTTTGGTTTTTAGTAATACAATTTCCACCCATGTCTTTTCCTTTGCTTCAATAGGACAGCCAACCAGATCACAGCATTATAAACATACAGTCCTAACTATTTGCAAATACATACAATGACTTCATCCATGGACTCCTGAACACTTTTCCACAGCGTCCAGGCACGGTCACACACCAGGTCTGTCACACGAAGGCTCTTGCAAAGGGTCACAAACTCAGCATCCTTGTCTCTGTGTCTAAAGGATGGAGAGCCATAAATCAACATCACGGAGAACGAAAACAGTTTCAGGACATCAAAACACGCTGCTCAGAGGAAGACAGCCTCCCAGGGCAGGACTTTCTAAGACTGTTAGCCACAGTCTAAGCTTTGGGGTGTGGTTGTGTAACCACAGCGTTACTAAACAGTTATACCATGTGGCCACTTGTGTGGGAAGGAGAGATGTTAAAACTCACTACATCTAAATACAGGACAGACTTCATCTGAAGCAGCTAGCTAGTCAGCCTAAACGGACGGTCACGTTAGCTAGCTAACAAGAGTGAAATACCAGCACAAACTAGCTAAATATTAGGCTAGAGTGGCAACATCTACTGCGTAACGTTAACCAACTAATTCGCCGTCTGCTAATACCTGAAAAGGAAACATAACTTGTCTTACTTTTTAACAGAAAACTCGGGACTCTCTTTCTTGTCTGGAGAGGCACTTTCAGCACTGGGCTTCAGTTCCTTGCTCTGTGCTGCCCCAGAGTTACGCTTTTTGGGTGGCATCTCAGTATTATGTCAGCTAACGAGCACCTATAACAATTAAAAACAAAACGATGTTTTGAAAACGACAAATGCCGTTTAGTAAGTTTGAGTCCCACTGCACGAGTTCCTCGATGTCAATACAACAAAATCTGACTTCCTGAAACAGTGTGTGTTCGTTTTGTATCAGCACAGTGCGCGGCGGAGTGCCAGTGCAGCCGGATTTCTCAACTGTTAGCTGCCATTTACGTTCAGTGCTCCCAGTCCCAATAATATTAAGGTCTTCACTGAGTTTTCGTGATTGTTTATTTCTGTTTAAACTCGGCTCTGCCTATCGTAACATTGGGTCAACAAGTAAATAGCTTCATTTCCTCAAGTTCTCTATGATGATATACACAGTGGAGTGTGATCACGTGACACACCGAAAACAAACTAACCCAAAATCACGATACGAAAACGCGGGAAAATATCTACGCAACATCCGCTGTTTAGCATTTATCCCGCCATCCGGACGGGAATATACCATGGGTTAAATACCTCCTCAGTCCAACTAATCTAATGTAAATCTACGGATATTATGATGTAAATCGTGCATATGTTTAATACGTTTGCCCTGGTGCCCATTTGTTTCACTTTCATATGTTACTGCGCACTGATGTGTGTTTTTTTTATCTGGGGAACCTCCATTTAAGCACTATTAGACTATGTTCTTCTGTCACTGTAAAATCTTTTTCACAGCAAAACATGTACTGAATGTCTCTAGCCTGCTCTTCTCTGTACAACCATTACCCTGTTGCATTAAAATGTATTTAAAATAACAGCAAAGTTTAAGAAAATGGGTACAATAGTCAGATATTTAGAAAACAGCCTCTGTGTTCTTATTCAACTTAAAATGTAACATCTTATTTTTTCTTTTTACAGATGTGTGACAGATGTGTAATACAGTCTGTGGTTTTACCTCAGTGGCTCACCACATCACTATTGGGAAAATTCATGTATTCATGAATCATGACTATGTATTAATGTCAAGTTTTAAATACATTTCTATTATACACCTTTAAAAGAAAAATGTCCAGTCACTCACAACTAAACAAATGTGTAATTATATAATTATTTATATTTATAATTATATAAATATAATTATACAAGAGAATGGCAACAAGGTGTACAAAGGCAAGAAGTTTCATGACATAATATACAATCCTAAGACAAAGGATAATAAAATGCTTATGAGATTTAAAAGCAGTGATCCTACTTGAAGGAGAAAACAGCGATTCTTCTTATAAATATGCACAATTAACAGTTGTTACTGAAAGTCTTTTAAAATGCAGATATTTTAGGTCCAGCAGATTGTTTTATCTGTCATATCTGCAATAATACATAACAGGAGCACAAAACCCTTTTTATCACATACTCCAGATTAAATCTTTAGGCACAGAAGACAACATCAACAGAAAAAAAGAGTGCAATCATTGTGGTCAACAAACATTATTCATCTAGGACATGGATCTATTTCAGTCAGCCACTTCAAGAGACAAACCACTCATCAGTCAGCGATGGGTGTGTCCATGTGAGGTGTACCATCTGGGTGATGTTGTAATTGTTCTTTCCTTTACATCCCAAGTTTAATTCCATTTGTGCCATCCACCACAGGGTACAACAATGCACTGATCTAATTGTTCAATATTTATAAACTAAATAATATGACCAATTTGCTAATGCACATTTTGACAACTGATTTTGATGTCTTCGCTAAGCAGGACTTCAAATCAGAGTAACAGTCGCACCCTCAGAAAACTGTGACAAATGTTAACAGGACCGGTGCTACATCAATAATCATGTTATCAAGGGGACAAAACATATACTCATCGAGTGCCTCTGCAGATAAGGCATGATGATTATACGATGACTTAAGGGGGGCTTTCTGCTAATAAATAGCAGAGTGGAAATATGACACAGAAGTTTACTTACTTACATTTAACAAAGGATACTTTTTGAAGTCCTGCTTATAAGCCTGTCTACACTACCACTGTAGATTGTAGTTCTAAGTGAGACAATATCATTGCATGAACATATTGCTTCATTTTCTGTAGAAATCTGCAGGAACTGCCCATTTGAAGTGCAGACATCTTAGAGTCAACTATCATATGGACAAATACTGTAGACTACTTTGAAAAGTAATTCATTTGGCATTTTTACATAATTTTTTTCTAGCAATCATTTTTAGCAGAGATTAATGTTAATAGTGAAATGGATTAAAAGTGTTCCTGACTCTGTGTGGCTGTTGCCAGTACCATTAATCTCGCATGCTGAAGATCTGTTGTCAGCTTTCTATGTCTAGCAGTGGTACTGAGGGTCACCAGTCACTACACTACACTAATACAATCTGAAATATACTCATCCAATTATCCTAGGATGCTGCATCTAAGGCAAGGATGATCCAAACTTTACAACTGTAACGTGATATTCCACACAGTGTCAAAAAAACAATAAAAAAAAACAATTCAAACATACATAACAGCATAAATTAAGCAATTAATCCACTCTACCCTGCAGGGCATGCAGTCTGTGCAGACACCAGAGCCTAGCTGGGCTGACTTATAGATAGTTTGCTTATAGCTGTACGTTCATCACTGATCTCCGTACTGTCACGCCTCACTTCCCGCCTCCCAAGTTATTGCAGTAAAGTCCATGTCTGTCAGCGTGACAGTGAACGGAGCCTCCACTCTCTCGGGCTCCACATGCTCTCCTACTCTCCCAGTGCTGTTCAAGTTGTTTACCCTCCAGGTATTCAGAGGTCGAATTGATTTCTGGAAACGCTACAATAAAGAAGCACGAGTCATAAACCTTCCTGTATGGGGCAATTTTATTTTTCAATGTGACTGTGGCAGAGGTGTAAATGGACAGAATGACACAGTGGTGATACTAACGTCTTTCAGTGTTCCAGTTTCCTTGGCGATGGCCACAATGGCCCAGATGAGGATCTGTAGACAGCAGACTGCGCCCATACACACACCCAGTGCTTTACCCCACCGTGGATACAAATAAGACCCATAGTGAAGTGACGTGTTGTACATTTCAATGAAGATGTAGGTCAGGATGAACTACAGCCACAAAAGGAAAGGCACAGAGTGAGCAGAGAAATGTTCCGTCCTAACAAAAAGTACCAGTGGCAGCTGAAGAAGAGGAACTGACAAGGCCAGCAGAGTAATGTCACAGGGGCAACTTGGATCGAATGTCTGTTTCTCCTCTTTAAATATTCACTACTTTTGTCATGAAGATTTCAGCACAGTTGGCTACTGTCCATTTAAAATTATGTTATTTTGGTTTCCTTGGTGCAACTTTTGTAATAGCTGGTAATTCATTTATCATACTCTGTTGTACCTCAGTTTATCATCAACTTTTATTTAAGGGGGTATTTCTTGTGGCAGCACCGTGTCCCATCCCTCATAGAATTACTCTTTGAGTGACATCAGAACAATACATTACAATAAAGGTGGAAACAAATGGATATATCAGTCAGCCTCATTGTAAAAGATACAGTAATTCTACCTGAGGCTACATTCAAAGAAGAGCAGCTGAAATAATGGAGGGAGTGACATAACTACATTGTTATAGGTGTGCTATAGACTAGGTATTTTTGGTCTAAGGCTTTGTATCCAATTCTTAAATCATGTGACGTGAGGAGGTTGCAATGTGAAGAAATGTGATAATTGCTCAGAAGTAAAAGGTGGAGATGAGTCATTAACTAGTGACACCTAAAGAAATTTCTGCCACGAAAACAGATGAGCCAAACTGTCAGACCATATTAAAATCAGTATAGCTGATAAATATGCTGTTCTCTCTCACTGTGCCAGCAAAGTAAAGATTCATTGTATGTGAGGTGCTATAAGAGAAAACCAACTAAAATAATTACTTTTTAAATGGCTCTAATGAACAACAAGTACCCCTCCTCAATTTCACCGCAGTTGCATTGGTGTACTGTATGTTTAATAAATATCATGCAAAGTATTTGCCATACTAATTATGGACAGCCAATGCTGAGGTCACCTATGTCTACAGTAACACATCTCAAAACTGAGGTGTTGACTCACCAGCAGAAGAAACGGAGTGAAGAAAATCCAGCAGGCTTTAAAGTAAAGCAGCACTTTGCTGCACCAGGGAGGGCAGTCACGGATCATGTCAATGATGTCTTGACAAAACTGGTTGACTCCTAACAGAAAAATTTAAGACATGCATATTAAGAACCCTGGAAAAACCTAGATGAAAGAAGAAAGAAATGTAGGAATTTAAGTCAGTTTGTTAAATAATTCATTTGTGGAAATTTGCTATGGGAGGGTGTTGATGAGTGAGAGCCTGCTTAGCCGGAGAGGCACGCTCCTTCCTTGTATGCTTGTGAAACGTTTATCTGACACCAAATACATAAAAGAATTACACACGCACACACATTAACATAAGAAATCAGCTCATGAGCCATGATAAATAAAAGCATGCCCTGTATATGTCCCAATCAATCATGTTACAGGCTTTAATGCTGGCAGATAAAGTAAGTCAGAATGCTGCAGTCTGTGAGCTGCTGTCACGAGGTTGTCATATTATGGAATGGAAATGGGACAATCCACTGTATGAGGCTTCTCTGAACCATTAACAGCCAAAACTCAAAGTATATCCACATATCTCAATCAAAATAAAACTGTATTAACTCCATGCCACAGGCTAATATACCCCATCTGGTTTAGCAATCTGTGTGCACAGATTATCACCTAAATATTTTTTTGCTAACACATGACCCCTAGGGGGCTCCATAACTCTTAACACAAAAAGTGTTTTTCTGCTTTTATAACCAGCTAAACACGTCACATGTCCAGGATGACTGAAGCTATGGAGGAAGTGTGTGGTGTCAGAGAAGTTGGATGTGAGGGTTAGGGCTGTGAGATGGACTACCATAGAAGAAGGAGATGCCAATGCACATGAAGAGGGTGATGATGATGAGGCCGAAACTAGTGCTGTAAGAGTCAATGAGCGTGAACCAGTAAATCCCTCCCTATGGAGACAAAGAAAGCATGAGCAATGTGAGTCTGACCAGAGAGAAGATGCATTTGGAGCCACATTCCTCACTTGTTATAGTTTGGTAAGAACACACTCACGTTGGTCACTAACAGGAGACCCATCAGGTAGAAGCAAAAACACAGAGCGCCCAGGAACAAACCCTTGTGCAGCGTGTTCCTTCTGAGCTGTGGGAACTCATCCAGCACAGCGGTGGTGATACCTTCCATGTTGCCAAACTGAGGGGAGAGAGCAGAAGGTACCACACACATGGGGGTGGATTGTATTTTTGCAAATTTCAATCATACATAGTAAAGTGTGCAGCCTTACCAGTGTATCGATACCCAGCATAAAGAGCATGAGAAAGAACATAATGGCCCAGAACACTGAGCCTGGCAGCAGAGCAAGGGCCTCTGGGTAAGCAACGAAGGCCAAACCAGGACCTAAAGGCAAAAGAAAAAGTTTGTGGAAGAAGCATATGAGTGATAAATAGACACAATTTGAAAATTATAAAGAAAATAACTTAAAAATGCACAATTTATTTCATATGCCAGTCATTTCTAACATCTGGACTAAAGAAGACCCACAGGATTACTGTGCAAAACAAGCAAAGTAACTACCTGTATCTGCCACCTCTCCGACAGGCACTCCCTTCCTCCATGCCATGTGACCAAGGATGGAGAATATAGCAAATCCTGCAAAGAAGCTGGTGCTGCAGTTTCCAGTGGTGATAATCAGAGTGTCCCTGAAATCAAATGACCCACAATCAAGAGACTGAAGCCCTCATTACTGCAACAACGGAGCAAACGTTAGAGCAGACTGCAAACTCACCTGATGACGTTGTTGTCAAACTTATTGTATGAGGCCATAGAAAGCAGCCCTCCAACCCCAATACCTAATGAGTAGAAGATCTGTGAAGCTGCATCGTTCCACACCTGCAATGTTTCAGACAGAATTATAATTCAAACAATCAAAATATATATAGTTATTTTTACAACAGCAACACTTCTCATACCAGTCAGTCTACCTGCGCATTAGACAGTCGGCCCCAGTCTGGTGTGAGGTAGAAAGCAATGCCCTGAAGAGAGCCCTCCAGTGTAGCACCTCTGATGACCAAAACAATGAGCACAAAGTATGGGAAGGTTGCTGTTACATAAACCACCTGAAAACACAAACACAGACACAGATTAGGCTGAGAAGATATGGCAGCAAAGAGCAGGACTGCGTGTATATCTGTGTTTTGTAGGAGCTGAAAATGAAAACTTTGTGTTGATTCACCTTGCCAGAACTGCGGATGCCCTTGAACATACAGAGGAAGATGAGGACCCAGGCAGCCAGGAGGCACAGAGCCAGGGGCCATCGGACAGGGCCGGGGTCACTAAGGCCCTTGCTGTATACTACACCCAGCACACGCTCACTACAAGATACAAGTCAAACGCAAATGTATTACATTACCAGTCAAAGGTTTGGACATACAGTAGCATATTCAATGGTTTTTCATTGTTTATATTATTTTCTACATTGCAGATGAATTCAAGATGTCAAGTAGCCACTGTTTGCCTTGACAGCTTTACACACTATCCTAATCCGTTTCATGATGTAGTCACCTGCAACTCAAATGTTAACTGGTGGAATGTCTTGCCATCTTAGTGCGTTTGAAACCATCGGTTCTGTTGAGCCAGTGTAGCACTGCCATACAGCAAACAGACCTATTCATTCATTCATATTATGGCAAGAACAACCCAGCTAAGTAAAGAGAAATGCCATGAAGATGTGAAGGTAAGTCTATCCAAAACATTTTAAGGATGAAAGTTTCTTCAAGTGCAGTCACATAAACCATCAAATGCTGACACTGGCTCTCATGTGGACCACCCCAAGAAAGGAAGACCAGCAGTTACCTCTGCAGAGAATGGGTTTATTAGGTACCAGCTACAGAAATCACCAGTTAACAGCACCTCGTATTAGAGCCTATATCAGTGCTTCCCAGCGTTCAAGCAGCAAGCACGTCATCATCAACATTTGGAGCAAACCGTGTGAATCAGGCCATCATGGTCAAACTGCTGCAAAGAAACCACTATGGTAAATGGTAAATGGACTGTATTTATACAGCGCTTTTATGCACTGGCCAAAGCGCTTTACAGGGAGATTATACACCATTCACACACACATTCACACACCGATGACGACAAGGCTGCCACACAACGGTGCTAGTCAAGCCGCCGGGAGCAATTTGGGGTTCAGTGTCTTGCTCAGGGAGACTTAGGCATGTGGGGAGACCGGGAGTCGAACCACCAACTTGCTGGTCAGAAGACGACTTGCCCTACCTCGTGAGCCACAGCTGCTACTGAGGCAACCAATAAGAAGAAGAGAACTGTTTGGACCAAGAAACACAAGGATTGGACATTAGACCAGTGGAAATCTGTGCTTTGCTCTCACAAGTCCAAATCTGAGATTTTTTGGTTCCAGTTATTATGTCTTTGTTAGACCCTCAAAAGGCGAACAAATGGTATCTGTATGTGTGGATCTCCCCTGCAGAGCATGGACCAGGAGGTGTGGGCATGCTTTGCTGGTGACACTGTTAAACAGATGACCCAGCCTCCACAATCACCAGATCTAAACCCAGCTGAGATGGTTTGGACCGAGTCTGACTGCAAGAGTAAAGGAAAAGCAGCCAACAAGCACTCAACATTTGTGAGAACTCCTTCAAAACTGCTGGAAAAAAATCATTTTAGGTGATGACCTCATGAAGCTGGTTGAGAGAAAGCCAACAGTATGCAAAACTGTTATCAAGACAAATAGTGAAAAATCTAACATTTAAAACTTATTTTGATTTGTTTATACTTGTTTGTAAACTACATAATTCCATATGTGTAATTTCATATTTAAGATGTAGTATAAATCTACAACATAAAAAATGATAGGAAAAAAATAACAACAACAAACATTGAATGTGAATGAGATAGTGTGTCCAAACTTTGGGTTGGTGCTCTACACACACACACACACACACACACACACACACACACACACACACACACAAAACATGCCCTGGTTGTAGGGCTGGATTGTGAAGTGACTGTCAAAGCATTTGTCCACTGGGGGAAAAAACATTATTCAACATGTTGAGTATGCAAATATTTATCTGCAGTGTTTTACATCTCCACAAATCTGCTAAGATTTATAAAATGGGCAACATGATTGCTATATGAGACTTGCGTTAATACAGTATTTAGAAATACTTTTATGAAGTACTATCTACAGTACTATGTATTTGCATAATGTGCATCTTGCCTCAGTGTGAGCCCTTTGGTTTTTTTGGATGTATATACTGTAAATAAAGCCTCACTTTGCTCGAAGCAGGCAGTAAGCTGTCATCAAGGCATTGGGGATGACAGTAACACTTTCATTATATTAAAACCACTGTAAAAACCTACTTCTTTATGCAAAATCAAGTGTCCTGAAGATCAATACTTAGCATATAAAGTATTATAGACATAATGCAATAGAACTGTAGTTATAAGACACTGTAATGATTTATAGTGGCAGACTGATCTATGTACAGTCGCTTACATAGTTGAACAAGGTTTGTGTGCAGCACAGTGCCAGTGCAATTTACAAATCTTTCAGAAATGTATGGCTAAAGATTTGTCCTGAAAATAATACTTCTGGACAAATAAAATACATACATTTGCATGAAGATGTACAGTACACATCTAAAGTAATACAACACTTAAGCCATTAGTAATTTCTTCACAGATAAGAATGGTGCATGTGTGAATAAGCACTTACTTCCAGAAGACTTCTGAGCTGCTTATGCCAGTGGTGCTGTTACCACAAAGATCTGCATTGGCTATAGCTTCACACGACCAGGGTAGAGGGCTCTGGAAGGAGCTGCCTAGGTAATAGAAGGTCCATGCTATAATGACGTTATAGTAGAGACACACCAGTGTAGACACACAGAGCATCCCAATGCCAATACCTACAAGAAGACACAAAAGAATATGCATCTAAAAAAAAAACAGGAAATGCACAATTGTGTAAGGCATACATGTGAGGTATCATTTACATTTATTTAAAATAGATGTTGCTACAAACCCCATGTTCTATAAAGTGATAGCTGTACTTAAAGAAATAAATACACTGGATTGAATGATTGCTCCCATTTATTACAGCATTCCAGATAGTCAATCCTTGAATTGTCGACCTGTAATTATTCATTTACTTCCTCACTTGAAGGAGTTCCGTCTCAAATCTGTGTTGATTCACCTTGCCAAGTTCGCATTTCCATTTTAAAATGCAAATTACCCTTATGATAAAACCCGCCTTTCTGGCTCAGTTTCTGGTCCTTAGACACTTTCTGCAAGTTTCTTCTTCTGATCCTTACATTTAACAACTTGTTGCAGAGCTCTGAGGATTTGTTTACATTTTGCCACATGACCTATAGAATTGGCATAGCAAGCTGATGTGAGTCACCTTCCTGGACTGACAGGTGAGGCAGGCATTTTGATGTCAACTTGAGGTTCTGCACATACAAATCATTATATACAGTTCAGAGTGAATGCTCGGGACTCCTGAAGGATTAATACAAAACTGTGATCAGATATTGTTATACTGACATCATCTAGATAGGTTCTAAGTTTAACTATTAAATCACCACACTGACATAATTATCTCTAAAAGTTTCCAAGGTACACACTGAATTACAGTGTGGCAAGTATGTGATTACTCGACTAAAAGCTGGACCAAGGGGGTCATTACCTTTGAGCAGAGGGCAGCATTTCCACACCATGATGGGGCCAGCTGCTCCATACTGGCCTAAACTTAGCTCCATGAGAAAGAGCGGAACACCCGTAACAAAGAGCATAATGAAGTAGGGGATGAGAAACACACCTGTGAAGATTAGAAGTTGTTCAGTATGAGGAAGGCTGGTGCCTGGGGGCACGACAAACATTTGGTAAGTGCAGTCACAGGCCGATGGCCTGTAGAGGCAGGTTAACTTATAGAGCCTCTGTGTGACAGCTTCACAGACCGTTAGGCAAGCTCTAGCATGATTTTATAGGAAGATACGTCAGGCTGGGTTACGCAGGCAGATTACTTGTCTGGTGTGTAATCATAGGGTTAGGAAATGCTCTTTGTACTAGCTCCCAGTACTGATGGCTGCAAAATAAGCCATCATAATCAGGACAGTACACATCCAAGGGCAGAGCAATGAATGCCTCTTGCCTGAATGTGTGTAACAAATCATTACAGACATAAGGACCCAGGCATTTAATATTTAAAGTATTTTAGACTTCTTCATTGGTGAAGTGCTCACCTCCTCCATTGCGGTAACAAAGGTATGGGAACCGCCACACGTTCCCCAGTCCCACACAGTATCCTAAACAGGAGAGCAGGAACTCGTACTTCCCACCCCACTGTTCCCTCGGGACAACTTGGGGTAGTGTGGGTGCAGGACCCGTGGTTTGGGATTCAAAGTGTGGCTGCGGTGCAGGCGAAGTTGTTGGGTTGTCGCCATTCTGAGTGACAGCATGCCCGTTCAAATGGACCGAATTCTACAAAAAAAAAAATAAAAGCACAGTAAGACAGTGAAATCAGACACACAGAAATAAAAATATATGATATATATTTATGCTTTGTGTGTTATACCTTATGTTTCATTTCAACTACAAAACAAGCTTTATGTAATGTTTCACTGTCTGGTTGACTGAGGTGTTAAAACAATCAACTGGACTATTTCTTCCTCTTTTTCTCTGCAAGTCATCCATCCCCAAACAAGAGGGGAACTATTTTCTCATGGCAGGTTGCAAGGAGGAAGTCATATTCAGATAATAGCAAAGCTTCTGCTTTGCAAGTTGTTACTGTCACTGTTATGTTTAAACATTAATAATTGATCAGCTGTTCCTATGATACAAATACAATAACCATGTCTTCATGAAAATTACACTGAAGGTTAAGTGTCCGAGTGTTGAACATCTTTGAGATTTGTTGTGTCAGCAAGTTTTACACCTGGAAAATATATATTAGCATGTAACCATGTGAAGAAAGGTGTATTGCTATAGAAATCAGGAAGTTGAGTACTGCACAGTGAACCTGTGGTTGGCAGGATATCAAAAGAACATACTAAACCAATTTTAGTGCCTAGAATAAACCAAGAGGGTTGAATTCAATTAACAGCTTTAAAGGCTGTGTTGACAAGATTTAATTATCACCTGGAAAAAGAACATTTGTAAATACATAGCTTAATACAAGAAGCAGCTATAGTATATTCCCTGTACTTTACCAACCACAAACGCCTTGTCCAGTGTGTTGGCAGCAACACAGAGTACACAAACCAGAGGTTACAAAACACAGTATTATCTGATCTCTAAAAAGCTGACAAAACATTTCACTTAGCCTACTGAAGACGTTCTAACATTGCTGGAAATACAGGCTTACATGAGAAAACAAGAGTGTGGAATCCTGTGCAATATTCAGGAAAACACTGGCCCATTATTTTGTCAGTCTGATCAGCAAAGGATATTTAAGCTGCACAAAGCTACGCCTCCTGCCTTCATAATGTGGAATGACTCGATATAATACCATTAGACCAGCAGAATTTAACTTAACTATCTGTGTTTGCGATATGTAACAACCTGAGAAAAGTCTGGGCGAGCACACCTGTGGATGTGGCCCCGGCTTCACCACTTCCGCCTGCAGTGCGTCTGAAACGAGCCTGAGAGGGGCGCGATGTGGACGGACAGGTTTGGCTGCTTCACCGAAATACATTTTCCCATGAACAGTCGTCTACAGCTCTGTTCCACATTGTTTCATGAGCCCAATGTGTCTTTTCAGCCCGACACAGAGGGGTGTTTGTTGTGAATACCAACCCTCCGCCCTTACCTGTCCTGTGGTTGCACTGGATACAGCGGGGCTCACAGCTGCTGCTCTGCCGCTTTCGACCTGCATTTCCTCCCGGCAGAGGTGGCGCTTCACTATTCAAATTATCGCTCGGAAGTCTACATTTTAGTCGACAAAGTCCTCTAGAAGGTAGCACCACGTAATAACTTAGTAGCAGCTGAAGAGGTACCGTTGGTCCGCGTTACTCCGCGTATGACAGGCGGAGGTAGACATCAGCGATGGCGATAAGGAAGCAGGCTGGGAGGCGGTGAGGTGAAGGGCGGGAGGCAGGGCGCAGGTGCAGTAGAGACGCCTCCTTCTCCTCCGAGGTCGCCGCTTGTTGTGAATGGATGGCACGGTTGATACTGCAAGTTAAGCCGGGGGAGCTTGATCACATTTAAATTCACCCGAACAGAACAGGTTTTAAAGGAATGTAACCACACTATTCATTTGAATGTGAAACAGGGTATGAAGTGTGTTGTTTCACGTGTAGTATGGGGCTAGCCCAACCAAGTGATAAATGTATAGGCCTATTGTGGTTCAGGGTCTTTCATTCTTCATCTGACTGCATGCAGTATTGGAGGTGGAAGTTAACCTGGACGTGTAATGTTAATTTTACCTGTGATTCTTTGAATAAACCAGCACAGTTTTTTTTATATATCCGAGTGGTCTGCTTCGTCTCTGTGAGTTCCTGGTTAAAAGAGCCGGGAATAGCTTTCAATAGCTTTCAAACCCTTGATGTCACTGCAGCATTAACTTCTATACAGGATCGTGTGCATCACTGGAGTTACTCTTGAAAAACAACAGTAGCCCACAGCTCATAAATTAAGTGGACTGCATTATTAAGTAGATCCTGTAGGGTGTAAAGGAAACAGGTGTAAAAGATCAGACTTAGCATGAGGGTATATGATATATGCCCAAAATTAAATGCTCAAAATGTTTTTAGCTGCTCACAGTGAAAGCCATACAGTGCACCTTCTTATTTTTGTCTTTTGTTAGATTTTGTGAAATTATTGGTCTAATTACAAAGACCTTAACGGCATCGTATTCCTTCTTAATTGTCAGTTAGTAGGTCAGGTAATTTAGTGTCCACAGTTTTATCATAACACTTAATACTTTTAACACTTATTTTTGGAACCAACAATTACAGTTAAAACATCAAAGTAGCAACTGATGTCTGTGGTCTGTGGGGCAATTGTTGGTAACATGTGGCTGTGAGGGAACTCGGTGTGTGAGAGAGAAGATGTATTTAACCAGGAAGGAAAACAATCAGTCGGAAAAGGGTGGCTTGTTCCCTTCAGGTTGGTGGAGAGTTCCTGCCTCAAGTGGAGGAGTTCAAGTATCTTGGGGTCTTGTTCACGAGTGAGGGAAGGATGGAACGAGAGATTGACAGGCAGATCGGTGCAGCTTCTGCAGTAATGCGGTCGATGTACTGGTCCGTCGTGGTGAAGACACATCGAGAGGAGCCAGCTGAGGTGGCTCGGGCATCTGTTTCGGATGCCTCCTGGGCACCTTCCTATGGAGGTGTTCCAGGAATGTCCCACACTCGAGGCGGCCCCGGGGAAGACCTAGGACACGCCGGAGGGACTATGTCTCTCGGCTGGCCTGGGAACACCTCGGCATTTCCCCGGAGGAGCTGGAGGAAGTGTCTGGAGAGAGGGAGGTCTGGGCATCTTTGCTTCCCCCGGAGGAGCTGGAGGAAGTGTCTGGAGAGAGGGAAGTCTGGGCATCTTTGCTTCCCCCGGAGGAGCTGGAGGAAGTGTCTGGAGAGAGGGAGGTCTGGGCATCTTTGTTTAGACTGCTGCCCCCGCGACCCGGTCCCGGATAAGCGGAGGAAAATGGATGGATGGAAAACAATCAACCACAAACATTAAGCAACATTTTAAATAGTATAAACACTTTAGATAAAGAAGTTCCTCTGATGCACTGAATGTAAAAAGTTCAAATATCCTTGATGGCAAACGGCAAAATGACATACTACTGTATATAACTAAACCAAAAAGGCAGACGATTATTTTTAACAGTTAAAACATTCACTGTAGCCTATAGGTATTGTCCATACTTGATGGTGTGATGCTGAGTGACTCTTTCTTAGTGGCAGCTCTCAAACACTTTAATCCACATAAGCTCACGATGCTTCTGCAAATCCACCCAATCTGTTGAGTGTCTATACTTAACAACCCTCCTCAACTAATCTGGGTCAGTATGGTACAGTCAAGCTACACTGTTGTTTTTGTGCATAGGAAAATGACCATAACTGGAACTAAAAAGAATCATATTGTTTTAAAATGAGGATGAAAGTGGACAAGAGCCTGAATAAGTGAGAAGGTTTGACAAGTTCACTGAGGTGGTGGAACCCCAAGACCAAATGAAGAGTGAGTGGAGCTGGCATATTACACTCAGCCACCAGTGGAGTTTGATACAAGTGCAAACGGTTGCGGTCAGTACGGCTGGAGGGCAATTCAGATCCATACTGCAGCATCTGGCCTGATGCTGAGCCAACAAGAACAATGATTCATCTGAAGGCTGGTTGTAATTCAGCCTTGACTTGCAGTGGCATTGATACGGTGCTGTACAACTTTAACTGTCAAAAGGACCTCTGGGAGAATGAGTCTGAAGAGGAAGAGTCTGCTTTGGACCTGGTAGAGCTCCTTGATGTAGAGGATGATGTCCAGGATGAAGAGAGCTGGTAGGTGTTTTTTTTTTTTTTGGCCTCATTCTGGTCTGACTTTAGTAAGGGATAATGTTAAATATAAAATTAACCTTTGATCTATTGTCTAAGTCCATATACATTTAAAAATATGTTAATAAGATGCTAGTGACTAGTGATGTGGACAATAATCAGGAGAGCAAACTCACTCTACCAGGAATCTGAAAACTCTTTTTCACCTAGAGGGTGTACTCTCTTATCCTACACAGGTTATATGAGTCTCCAAAGAAACAGGTGTTTGTGGACAACAACAAGTCTACTCTCAAATGGTGTCGACATGTTCTGGACAGCCCCACTCCTGAGATGGAGGCGGCATGCCGTGCACTGATAAATAGACTAGGTCAAAGTAAGGAAGCAGCACACAGACTGGCTCGCTGTTCAGCAAATATTTTAAAGTTAAAAAAAAAAAGATTCTTGAGAGTGACCAGTTTGGCCACATTTAGCTTATGAACCCTCTCTGCATTGTCAGGATCAAGCAGTCACTTCTACAGACATCCTGCAATCTTTCATCACACTGACACTGTGGGCTCTTCTATGGACAAGACATCTGTCAAAACAATGGAAAATTCCTCTGACAGTTTAGGTAACATAACACTGACAAACTCTGGATCCTCTCACCTTCTATGTTATACAAAATACAGTGCGTTACAAAATCAGGAATTAGCATACTTAGTTTTACATTCATATATTCTTTTATGTTATATATTTTTGTCACATTTCTTGCATTTATAAATCTGCACAGATAACAGTGAGAAGAGATTCTCCCATGACCACATAACTACAAGCTACAGACTCCAGGACATCACAGATGTCCACATTATGGCTCATACACAAGAAGCCAGTGAGTATAGAAGATGATCTAGCATGCGCTGAATACTCTGCAAATGTTGGATAGAGAAAACTCTGGTCTTTATTTAGGTTTACAACAAGACTATGTTTCTCCTCTTGCCGCTGCTTTACCTAGAAGAAGCTGTGAGTCCTCAGCAATGCTTCTGTTTTATTTTAACACCACAGTTGAAAACACTGATGACCTCACTCCAGGAAATAAAACCGAGGCTTCATCTTCCTGTTGGTGGCAGCTTGGCCTGTCATCACTGATCTCTTCCCCATGCCCATCACCAATACCAATACCTAAGCAGGACTGCCAAAGTCCTAAGCCGGCCAGACTCCACCAGCAACTCACCCAGTTCAAGCTGCTTAAATTCGCGCAGAACCAAGGTACATAGAGCATGCTTGATGACTGCAGAACCTCAGTAGGACTAAGTGTGTGGCTTAGTGTGTAGATTTTAATGCTCCCTAGATATAACAGTTTTTTAGTAGCATGATCTAGTCACTTTTTAAACAAGTACTTGAGATCTTGTGTTTTATAAGGTACACAGTGAGGCAGAGGTAATAATGATACTGAATCACTTCCAAATACAGGATATTAATAATGAAATTGTCATTAAAATGTTTTTACAAACTGCAGTGTTATTCTACATATAAAACTGACTTGTTTGATAAAGCTAATAATAAATACAGTTTAGTTTGATTTAAAAAATTCAAATTTTCATCCTATTTAAAACATCAAACATCATAAATAAGTGGATGTGAACTAGATAAAACCTTGAGGTGTTTTGGGGCAACATCAACAGGCAGGACCACGTCACCGCTGCCGACCAGCCTCCACTCCCTCCAGGCTGTTAGGAACAGCCAAAGTTTAGAAACCAACGACCGCCTTCCTGCCAATCAACTCCTTTATCCTCCATCAGGTTTGGACCTATCCTCATATTGTTCAGGAAAGAAAAATGCCTACAATCTGTGGAGCAACTTATTCTGCTTTGGTGATGTTAAATGAAAGTTTTCCTTCATTGAAATAGAGACTCAACACAATTACAGCCATTAAAAACAAAACATTAACCATTTCTCAGGTGCATCACCTACCAGAATGGGGTCGAGCTGTTGGTCTCTATCACTTTCTCCTGCAACTATGAACTCCGGTGGCTCGTTGCACTCAGTGAGAGACTCCACAGTCCGGATGGCAGCCATGAAGAGACTACAGAGGTGTCAATCTCTCAGCCCCTGCAGGATTCCTCATGCTGCTAAGGGACACCTGTCTGTTCATGGACGTGTTTTTGCCTCACCTGAGAGGTCGGCTACCTCAGCTTGGGCCAGAAATGCACCAATTGCTCAGTGATGAATCCCTCATACTATAATGAGGTATATTTACAAATAAATAAATGTAATATCTTGTAAAAATGTAGGGTTGTCAAACCCACATGATGATATAAATAGTTTTAGATGATGAAGGAATTCATGGTATTTTGGTTATTGTATGCACTGCGACTGTATGAAGATTCCATTAAATGGGCTGGGTTCTGAGTCATCTCCCTGTGAAACAGTGTGAATGAAACAATATGTAGATGGAATTGGAAGCGACACAGACATCCTGGAGGAGTAGATTTTATATTATCCAGACACTCTGTTGCATTGTTGATATAACAAACTAAACAATGTGCACTGATATAAAAGTTGTTTCGGACTCATAAGAATATAGAAATGTAAGGAGCACTGTTAACTGTGTGAGACTGTGCTGCAGCAATCAGTAGTGCATGTGCTGTACTGTCAGTGATTTTGCAAGCATATTGCATTGCATAAGCAAAACTAATTCTTGAATTCAGAATTGTTCACGTAGGTCACAAAGGAATTCATGTCAATTTCATTGGTGATTTGAATGCAGAAGTGCAGCCAAACTTCACGTAACTTGGGTTGATGGCTGTTTTCTGCAGAGCTGTTGCAACAGGAAGTGTGCAATTTACCATCATGCAAGAGAAACTAAACAAGTGACCTCCATACAATAGGCAGCGCGCTCATTACCAGGAAAGAGAGGTGTGGTGTCAGCTTATTCAGGTCATTCACTACTTCACTTGTCATTTTGTTTACTTTTGTGCTGAGAACATGATGTAGTTCGACCTAACCAAAGCATTTTCAGTTTCCACTGTTTCCCAGATATTTTCTAATAGAGTAGTCCCCAAAGAGCAGTTTGACATTTTGACATCTAATGATCATAGAATTTACCAATTCAGTTGACTATTTAAGGAGGAAGGCTTTTACTGTATGCCTGTGCACAGTGCAGGTAGCAAAATGGTCTCTTATTGTGTCCAGCATGTCACCTGAGGTCCATATTTATGTTAACACTGTTGTGCTTTTCAGGTGTGATACTTTTCTATATTAACAGCAAATCTATCAGAAGTCAGTATTAGTTCAGTTCTATTTGATCTCACCTACTTTTTGTTTCCGGACAGGATCCAATAAACCCAGCACAAATATTTTGGAGGAAATAATTCACTATACAAACATCTATCATTGTGAACTGGTAAAAATAAATAAAATAAAACATCAAAACATATCTGTCATTGTGAATAAAAAAAAAGACATGGAAAAAAGGGCTTGGCTTTCATGTTTGCAAGTTTTCAAAAGCTTGTTACTGAACTTATTACAGAAAATACAGGTGCATCTCAATAAATTAGAATATCATGGAAAAGTCCATTTATTTCAGTAATTCAACTCAAATAGTGAAACTCGTGTATTATATAAATTCAGTACGCACAGACTGAAGTAGTTTAAGCCGTTGGGTCTTTTAATTGTGATGATTTTGGCCCACATTTAACAAAAACCCACCAAATCACTATCTCAATAAATTAGAATTGCATGCCACTCAGCTAGTCAACTCAAAACGCCTGCAAAGGTGTCCTGAGCCTTCAAAATGGTCACTCAGTTTGGTTCACTAGGCTACACAATCATGGGGAAGACTGCTGATCTGACAGTTGTCCAGAAGACAATCATCGACACCCTTCACAAGGAGGGTAAGCCACAAACATTCATTGCCAAAGAAGCTGGCTGTTCACAGAGTGCTGTATCCAAGCATGTTAACAGAAAGTTGAGTGATAGGAAAAAGATGCACAACCAACCGAGAGAACCGCAGCCTTGAGAGGCTTGTCAAGCAAAATCGATTCAAGAATTTGGGTGAACTTCACAAGGAATGGA